AGATGAGAAGCACATTAATCTCACCATGAAGGGCGTCCAAGAAAGCAATTAACGGGAGAGCACTCAGCAAGGCAGCCGCAATCCCTGGCTGCCCGAGTGTCAAAGCACTGCCGTAGCCCCAGCTCTACAGATTGTCACCACCAGCATCCAGCCACCTGGCTGCACTTCCATCTCTCCTCTAAGATGTGAAGTCTTGGCATGGAATAGCGCTGGGAGACAGTCACCAGGTCATGCACAGCCCCTTTTGCTCCCCCATAGAAAGAAAAGCAGTGAAAGCATTCTATTACAGTCAGCTCTTGTCACCTAGCCGCATCCGCTTGTCTGTCCATTTGTCCACTCATGCACCCACCATCAAAAGTGTTACTCCCTCACTGCTGGCATTAAGGATTCAACCACTCAGTCCCGTCCCTCTGCCCCCACCAAGTGCCAGGCAGGGGGTGATGCCATCAAGGGGGAAAAATGCTTTGTTGTTCTCTGGGCTGGTTTGTTTCTTCAGAGAAAAACAATGAAAATGATATTAGTTTTATTGCATTATTTTACTGACTAGAACGCCAGACTTATAGTGGATACAAATATAAAAATAACCAAATTCTTACAAATAATACTTTGCTACTACAGTACTGAATAATTAGTGGAGGTTGCAATGATAACACAACTTTAAATAACATTCTCGTAATGGATTTAACACAATCAACCAGGGAGGACTAGGGTTTAAGGGTTTACCAAGAGAAATTCAGGACAACGTGAACACTCAAAAAGCTCAAGTTCCAACATCACACTTCACTTAACCGTAAATCCAGCAACACAGAAATCAAACTCCCAGCAACTGGCGATGAAACATTTTCTTCTTTAGAACAGCCCAAAGTAATACAGGAAGAGAAGGGATCCAGGACAGTTTCCCAGGAAGTCTAGTCCATCCCATCCCGGCCACCCCTCACTGGCCTGACACAAGCCCTGCACACTGAAGTGCCCCGGATGCATTCAAAAACAAACAACACAGACAGACGAGAGCAGAACTACACAAGTACTTCAACATGTCCTCTTTGAAAAGGACCAGTGGGCAGAACCAGTCTGGAACCTGGCTCCCTTTGGTTTCACAGGTTTTTTTTTTTTTTTCTTTGTGAGCAGTTTACAGCAGAGAAAATGAGGTGTGAGACCATGGAAGACATTTCAGTACAATAAATTAACCAGCATCTAATGCTTTAATGTTCCCATTCCATTAATCGGTTTCCTTCTCTGGAGATGGGAGAAAATGCAGAACACAGATTCCAAGGCAAGCTACAGAACCATATCTGTGTCCTAAATCACGGGAGAACTACAGAGTGATGCCTCATTAATATGTAAGAAATCAGATGTCCTCTTTATTTCCCACTAAACCTTTCACACACAAAAACTGCCTCAGATATTAATGGCAACTTTTTAAATACAAAACACCGAGGAACTGACCTTAGAATCTGTCCTCTCTCCATGGAAGTGCTCTCATGTCCAAACCAAAGTGTGTATCCAGAGCTCTGAGTCAAGGCCCTACCCTGGGAGCGTGAAGCTAAACTTGGCTATGGACACCTGGATTGTACAGCTCTACTTGACAAGCCAAGTTCAAGAGTTGCAGGACAGCTGGGCACATCCTCAGAGGACAGGATGGCTCAAGGAGGCACAAGAGAGCTGTTGGGTTGGGGAGGACTGGGACATGTGCTCTCGGGAACACTCACATCTGGATCACCACCCTCACTCACACACTTCACGGGCAGCCAGCCTTGGAGCCCACAAAGATGCTGCTGTCCTCTCCTTTGGCCCAAACCCTTCAGGAACACAATAGTTGTACATGAGTTGTTAGCCTGAAATGCCATCAGCTAGGTGCACCATCCAGTCAGCCGTCGCGTGGCTCAGAATGACTTAGATGCTCCTAAGACAGTTGTCCTCTGGAGAGGAGGCTCTCTCAGCACGTGAGACATTCTACTTAAACTATGGTTCATCAAAACAGCTTCTACCACAGGGGAGTCGCGGCTTTACAATGGGAATCCAGCAAAACTGCCTCCACGTGGATGTGCTAAGTCTGGCTGAGCTGATTAAACACCCAGGTCTTCACCTTGCACCTGCTGCAGCCAAAGCCATGTGCCATCGCTTCCTGCTGAGCACAAGCTAACCACTACTTGCCTAATGAGTACAACAGGTATCCAAGAAACAGATGTAAAAGCCACCCCAGAGGGATATTTTCCAAACGTATTCAACATTTTTTCATGCTTTCTGCTATTAGGTTGGCTACTGCTTAATCATATTAAGGTTCATTTAAAACTAAAACCAAATAGCTTATTATTTAAGCACATTCTCTCTTGCCTTCTTTGACATGTAAACTAGGCCATTAGATCGTGCAGTGGGAGAGTGAGGCAGGCAGACAGGGGTCCAAGGCCTGCCTGCAAAGGGCAAGCTGTGTATTCTCTGAAGCTTTCAATGTCTGCAGAATGGACATGCTTGTGCTGACCTCATGAGGGCGCTGTGACAGTGAATTCCTCAGCAACAGGAGCAAGATGTTAACCTATCTCCCTAAAGAAACAGACCCCAGTGCCTGGAGCTGGAGGGAGCGATGCTGGAAGACCCTGTTGCTCACACAAAGCCACAGGCTGGGGTTGGCTCTCTGTCCCAACAGATGAGCTCTACTATGTCCTGGGGGTGTACAGGTTCCACGTGACCCAGCTCTTCCCCACAGCAACCGAAGCATCCCACAGGCAGTGCTGCGTCCCACTTCCTCCCACCTTTCCCCCACAGTTGCGACGTTTTTTGTTCACATGAACCAAGCATTCCTAATGGCACACACCTGCGAGCTGAGTCCATGGGCACATGCTTCTGCCCTCTCTCCCACCTCCGGGCCCTCACCGTCTTGCTGTTTCTCCTTGGCCTCAGCAGAATCATGACAGTGTCAGGCCTCCTCCGCCACCTGCCAGCAAGCACTTGAGACCAGCTATGCTCTTTTCATGCCTTCCCACTATTCCCAACACGCCTCCCAGGAGCCATATGCTGTGGGAACGCCGCCTGGCAGGGTGCTCCCCCCAACAGTAAAATGGGCACAAAACCAAAGACTTTTAACCCTCTCCACAGCAACATGACTCGCAAACACGTGTGTGGGGGGATAGGCGACATTCTTGAACTCACTTTTCTGGACCTTGAGATTCTTCCTAAGAATGCTTTTGGGACACAACACTTTGAAACTTCACACTTCTGAGTGGAAATAGGAGATGATGTGCCAGCCGTGCTGGTAGCATGAGGCAGAAGTGTGTGCCTACCAACAGCTCCTTCGGCCGCTTCATGTCGCTGTGGGTCCTGGGCACCAGCGGGGATGCTGCGGTGTAAAGGGTTAGGAAGTAAGGCTGCCGAGTGTGTTGGCTCAGGTGAGTGGAGGTCAGGGGCTGGGGGCACTCCAGTTAGGTGTGCGCCCACGAGGCACAGAGGCGGAAGACCCAAGATGCCAAAAAGGCGATGCTTTGAAATTTCAAGGTAGCACCTCCTGACAAAAATAAAACTCATGTTGCATTTAGCTCCCAAGTACAAGGTAATTACTAAGATGCACTGCACCTGCTCGGCATTGCTGCTCTAGCAGGTGAAGGTGCTCTGGGAGGCCAGGGAACACAGTAGTTCATGCTGAAAACCACTGGGACGGGGATTGTGGAGGTTGTGAAGAAGTCCCCCCAACATTCTCCGGTTCCCCAACCCAGGCACTGTTTCAGTGGCTACACCATTTTCAGAAATGGGCCTCTTTGGCCTGTGTGTTCAGGTCACTTTATCCACAACCACAATGTTACAACAGCAAGCACAGGGACATACCTCCACAGGACGGGCCTCCCTTGCAGGACCCACCACACAAGCATTAAGTGAGATGTGTGGGCTTTCCTTGCCAAAGGCGAGCTCCCATGTCCCTCACTGGCCAGAAGTCTCTAGGTCTCCAATGCTCAGTACTACACAGTGGCATACAGTGAGAAAATGGCTGGGTGAGAGAAAGTAAGTTATTTCAATGAATAAATAGCCTCGAGTGGTTGAAAGCTCACACAGAGTTTGTGGACGAGGTTAAAAACACAAAGACATCACACTAACAGGTCTGCACACTTACCTGTGGCTCTACTCTGGCTCCTTATTCTGCCTCAGCAATCCACAACTTCCCAAAGTAGAAGCCAAAGTCGCCGGAAACTGAACTCGGCCCATCCCTTTTAACCACACTCAGCTGCAAAGACTATCACATTCAGCTACTTTCCCTCCAGTGGTAAATACCAGCGAGGACACCACCTGCATCCACCTTCCCATTTCTCTTACATTCATAGAACCATTGGCTTCAGCGTGGGCAGAGCCCTAGGCCCCCAGGTCACGCTCTCAGGAACAAAAAGGTTCCTCCCCATGCCTGCAGGACCAGTCCCTAGCCCCTGCCCTGCCTGCTGACGCTCATCATGGGACAGCTAGATGCCTCAAACTTAAAACCAAATGCTGCTTTGCCATGAGCTCCACGTATTTGAAAACGGTCGAGATGGAACTGTAAAGGCTGTTGGAGAAAACGCACATCCAAGATAAATGTGTCACCTTAACTGAAAAACCAAGTGGGAGTTGTGGGCTGTGCCTCACAGATTTCAATTCCTTATCTGGGGGCTGGCTTAGATGCTGCAGCTCAAGATGGTGGCGAGACACCGAAGTACTCTGGCCCAGCGCGGTGACGTCAGCCCTCAGTGGCGTGTCCATCTGCACCTGTTGTTCTGCACACGGGCACCAGGCTAGGGAACAACCAAGAGCTCAGCGTCCGGCTGCAAATCACCACCAAATCACAACCTATGGAGCCTCAGGAAAGGAAGCCAAAGTTCTTCTTTCCGAAACAGTCTTGACGGAAAGGAAACCTCCCTGCCCAGTTTACTAAAGTGCACACTAAACGAAAACCTGGGTCCTGACAATGAAACCTACTGGGCTGCCTTGGCCGACGGTCACCTCTGGCACCAGTGCCCCGCCGCAGTCCCTCTGACTCTCCTGGCACCGGCCCACGTCCATGTTCACAGTAACAGCACAGGTGCCGGATGAGCAGCCTGCAGTTTCTCCTACTGCGCTCACATCCCTCACACTTGTCACTCTGCTTGCCCCTCCTGGGTGGTCCCAGTAAGTCCTGGGAGCAGCCAACATGGGACGCTTGCTCCTGAGCCCCTTGAGGTCCCAGGCAGGTGGCTCAGAGCAGTGAGTCCCCCAATCTCTCTTGGATTTAAAAGTAGTCTCTTCTTCTGCTCTCATCGCTGATGAAAGATGGGTTGTACTGTCCAGGGAATATGCACGAATGCCGTGATCCGGGCAATCCAGTGTAGGCAGGGTAGAGTCCATTTCGTTCAAGTTCAGGATTCCTTACACTTGTGGGCTGGTTGCCAAAGAGAAAAGGAAAAGACCACCGATTAGTCTTGGGTTTAAAATCATTCATTTTCTTTTTTGTAAGAGAATGCTATGTTTGAATAAACTTAAGATGGAAGCTATTATGAAAAGGAGAGCAGGTATGTCTCTTTCCATTTTTTGTCTTCTTCAATTGCTTTCCCTGCTGGTTCATAACTTTCACTGTAGAGATCTCTCACATTCTTAAGTTTATTTGAAGGTATTTTAATTTTTGTGATTATTATGAATGGGAATGGTCTTGCGAGTTCTTTATCAACAAGCTCATTACTGCCATGTAAAAATGCTGATTTCTGTGTGTTGAGTTTGAATCCTGACCAGTTCTAATGGTCTCTTGGGGGAGGCTTTCGAGATCCTCTCTATATAAAAGCACATCATTTGCAAAGAGCAACAATTTGACTTCCTTCCTCTCCCTTCCTATTTGTATACCTTTTATTTCTCTCTTTCACCTAATTGTTCTAACTAAAACTTACAATACCAGATTGAGTAAGAGCAGTGAGAAGAGGTATCTTTGTCTTGTTTCAGATCTTGGAGGAAATTTAACTTTTCCTGATTCAGTATAATACTGGCTGTGAGTTTATCACATATACTTAATCATTTTGGGGATTTTATTAAATTATTTTCCCTGCATCTACTGAGATGATCATGTTTTTTTAATCTCCAATTTGAGATGTGACTATTGATCTATAAGTGCTGAACACTTTTAAAATTCACATGACTATGATGACTGACTAATGTGTAGCTAGGTTCAAAATCTAGCATCTCTGCGAATTTCAGCGGAATATCTGGGGATTTCTCTGGGAGGTTGCTCTATAGTTTTATTTTTATTTATTTTTTTGTGGCGTCCTTGGCTGGCTCTGGCATGGGGTCATGCTGGCCTTGCAGGAGTTCAGGAGAGGTCCCCCACTCAGTGCTCTGCACGAGTCTGAGAGGAACTGATGTTAGCTCTTCCTGAAAAGTCTGGCAGAATTCAGGACACCTGGGCGTTTCTTTGTTAGATTTTTTTCATTATTGATTTGATTGCATAATTGATTATTGATCTGCTTGGATTCCCCATATCTTCATGGTTCAATACTGGCAGCTTATACATATTCAGAAACTTATTCTTCAAGGTTTTACACTTGTAGGTGTAAGTTGTTCTTACTATTATAGTTCCATGGTATCAGCTATAATATTTCCTTTGTCATTACAGATTTTATTGATTTGAGTTTTCTCAATTTTTTCTTAAATAGTGTAGTCCAAGTTTTAAGGGATTTTGTTTAGCATTTCAAAAAATGAATTCTTCATTGTAATAATCTGTTGTATTAAAAATATTTCATTTCTTTTTTCCCTTCTTTCTCCTTCTTTTTCCTCCTTTCTGCTAATGTTGTGTTTTGTTCATCCTTGGTTTTCTAGATCCTTGAGCTACATTGTTAGATTGTTTATCTGAGATCTTTCAATTTTCTTCAAACTAGATGCTTATTGCTATAAATGTAATGGTTGGTACTACTTTTGCTGTATCTCATTAATTTGGGTACACTGTTTCCACTTTTGTTTCACAAATGTTAAAATTTACCCTTTGGTTTTTTTCTATGACCCACAATTTGACAGCATGTTCCATTTCTTCGTGTATACCATTCACCTTGTCGTTACCATCCTGGAACTGCTTAGAAAGGAGAAAAGTTTACTTTGGCCCATGACCTGGAGAGTTACAGTCCCACTGGCTGGCCGTCTGATGAGGGTGGATGGTGGCGATGGAGGACTGGAGGAGGATCCCCAGGAGTCACAGGAAGCTAGGGGAGGGTGGGTCTGACTTGGGTCCTATTCTTTGTTCTCGGTGGAGCCCCATCTTCTGAGATCACAGGCCCGCCTAGACACTGTGAGTGGACTGGCTTCCTTTCTCCCGGTAACATTAACTCATGATTTTGCAATTTAAATGTCTACACAAGCCATAGCTTAAACTATGGCATCACATATTCATACAATGCATGGTTTCTTCTCCTGTTATTTCCAGTTTTATTCCACTGCAGTCAGAACAGATACGTGACACAATTTTGATTTACTTCCTGGTTTAGCTGAGATTTGTTCTGTGGCCTAACCTGGACAATGCTCATGTACTGATGAAAAGGTTGTGTATCCTGCAGCTTCTGGATGACCTGGCCTATGAGTGCCTTGTGGGGCCATTTGGCCTACAGCATGTTTAACTCTGATGTTTTTGTTAACTTTTTTTCTTTTTAAGATTTATTTATTTTTATTGCAAAGTAAGATATATAGAGAGGAGGAGAGACAGAGAGGAAGATCTTCCATCTGCTGGTTCACTCCCAAAGTGACTGCAACAGCTGGTGCTGTGCTGATCTGAAGCTAGGAGCCAGGAGCTCTTCCGGGTCTCCCACATGGGTGCAGGGTCCCAAGGCTTTGGGCCATCCTTGACTGATTTCCCAGGCCACAAGCAGGGAGCTGGATGGAAACTGGAGCCACTAAGACATGAACCAGTGCCTACATGGAATTCTGGCACATACAAGATGAGAATTTAGCCACTAGACTATTGTGCCAGGCCCTTTGGCTAATACTTCTTTGTCTAGGTTTTCTATGCCTTTCTTCTTTTACTTTGCCTTCAGGAACCAACACAATGTTTGAATATTTGCCTAATGGTGCCCCAAAGATTCTAGAAGTTGTCTTCTTTTTAAATATTTTTTAAGTGTGTGTTGTGTCTAACTAGATATTTCTTAGAACTTGTCTCCAAGTCCAGATGTTCTTTCCTCTGCTTCACCTAGTCTTGTCTTTGAGGCCTTCAGGTGTGTTTCCAATTAGATTTCCTGAGTTTTCCCATGTCTGAGACTTGTTTCCTTTACAAGATCTCCATCTCTGTTGAAATCCTCACTCACACCCTGTGCTATCTTCCTCGTTTTGTTAAAACTGTAATCACTCTTTATGAGTTCTTTAGGAAGCATGCTGCCAATTTCCTTCTCTTTGAGGTTTAATGCTGGAATCACTCAATTTCTCCGGAGACATCACGTTATCTTATTTTCTATATTTCCTGTGGTTGTACATTGAGATTTGCACATCATGTGGATTAGATCTCTCTCCCACACTTTCATAGATAGCTTTTGTAGTAACGGTTTTCTTTTGAATATTTGTTTGCAGAGGTTGGCTTGGTGGGCTACAGTGGCTTTAGGTACTACTAGTACACGTGGAGGTGGAATCCTAATTGCTCTTCTGACTCTGGGAGCCACGTGGAAGAAGTGGGACTTCAGTGGCCCAGGCAGATGGAGAACTGACAACAGTGCCTGTGGGGTGCCCCCTGAGTGGCTGTTCTAGCAACAGGAGTGATGGCCCCAGCAACAAGTGGTGGATCCTTCCTCGGCAGGGATGGTGGGGTGTGCAGCATCTGTGTGTTGAACGCAGCTGAAGTATAAGCCCCGGGGTGGCCAATGGTGGTTGTGGAGCGGACATAAAAACAATGTAAGAGTTACAGGCAGTATGTGGCTTACAGTGCCTGTCCTCAGCGCTGGTAGCAGCTGACGGCTTCTAGGAACATTAACCGTGGCATGCACACTGTCAGCTTCCAAAACACTCAGAGCCACCTGTGCGCTGGCTGTGGCTCCAGGGGGTGTTCAGCCTGCAGGGCGTGCCCTCAGTTGATGTTGGGCTGGGAGCATGGCTCTGGAAACTCGAGGCAGACAATGCCACAAACTTCTCTGAAGCAAAGCTATGATGCAGACTCCAGGTAACTCCCATGACTGGGCTCCAAGCCTGTGGGGTCTGTGGAATTCTGCTGTCACTAGGGTTGCCATGGCGATGGGTCTGTGGGGGGTCTCTTGTGCCCTTTCCTCCACTCTGCGCTACCCTCTCAGGTCCCTGTGTGTTCCAGCTTTCCTGTCTCTCTGGTTCCGAGTTCTAGTACTGCTCACTTCAACATGCAGCTCTTCTTATTTGGTTTTCTGGTTCTCATTTGTGGAATGGTAGGCTAGGGCTGAACAACTCTACTCGGGCATGTTTCCAGTTCTTTCTACTAATATTTACCTCACCGCTGTTTAAGTTATCTTTCTCTGTGGCACACTACTGGTTTTAAATTCTCTTTGACCCTTAGCAGAAGAGAGGGGACACACGCCATACAGGATTCCAAAGACCCCCAGCTTGAGGTGCAGTTATGGGCACAAAGCTTGGGGGGGCCCTGGGGATTCTCAGGTATCTGATCAAATAACAGCTTAATGGGTCATGAATCAGCTATGTGGTCTGCAACAAACAGCAAAAACAAGTAAGTCCCCAGTCTTTCCTGGAATAAATAACAAGCGATGGCGAGGTGCTCACAGGAATACTGGGACAAATGCTTTCTGGTGGGAACTATAGTGGATGCTGCACTTCCAGCCTACTGACATGAGGGAGGCCCATGCCATGGAAAGACACAATAAAACTCGGTCCTACAATGTCTCGGCCTGCTTGTTGCTGGTTATTTTGTCCCACTGTGGCTGAGGAATACCAAGAAAAGGATCTGAGTGTGTGGGTAGACCCTGACAGACGTGTCTTCAGCTGGGTAAACAGAGAAGACTTCCAACCAACTGAGGGAAATAAAAATGCAAGGTCCTGTGTAGAAATATTATTGCACAAATCTTAAAGCTAAGCTTGTACTTGCGTCTGTTTACCTTCCTCCTTATTTCTTCTTGCTCTCCAGGTTCAGTTTTTTTTTTTTTAAAGGTCTATTGAAGCAAGCAGCTTCCTTAGCATGTCCCAAACCACCCCTCCCATCCAAAGTCTAAATCCTCCTGGCTGATTCCCATAGCAACCAGGGGGACTGTAGTTCCCGTAACAAGATTGTCTAGGATCATTAAGGCTCCACGGGGCAAGGTTTATACTTATTGCTGAATCTCAATCAGCTCCCCAGAGCATAAGAAGTCACCTGATCCCTATTTATTTATCAGCTTAGATAACCCCATGTGTGTCTGTTTTAAGGTAGACCCGATGGAATGTGAACTGAATCGGCAGTGCACAGGAGCAGGATATGAGTCATATTCAATGTGCAACAGAAGCAGCAAGGCTTCAAGGCCTTCTGTTTTCCACGTGCTGCAGACCAGGGCAATACAGGGCAAATGATTACACGCTCACCGAGGGCATTGCCCTCTGGGCCTCTGAGATGTACCTGTCAAAGATGATGCCGAACTCTGTACTTTTTTCTACTTTTAACTACTTCACCATACCAGGTCAAGGATAAGGGGCTAAATGGTCAGGAATCTTTTCTCCCTCTATTCGTTTCCTTTGTTATACCTTAGAAACAAGTTGGGTAATAAGAAAGTACTAAATCCCACTGAAGCAGTATATGGAAATATAACCTCCTAATTCAGTACCAAGATCAATAAATACCTTACAAACAGAAGGTAAGTAAATAATATGAATGATAGAAATAAGAGGCATCTGTCACCATCCTCTCTCACTCCCAGCCACCTGCAGTGCTCTCTGCCTCGGCACAATGGAACTACTTTTCCCGAGAACCCAAGCCCGGGGTGGCCGTGGGCCTGGGAATACACACCGAGTAGTATACATCCGTCATCTGCAGGAGGTTTTTGGTACTTCCGTTTTCATGCATTTCAATAGCTTCTCGACCCCACTCTTGTGAGCGAGGATTCTTGGGGTACTCGGCATACGGGGACATTTGGAAATCCCCGCTCTTGAAGATGAGCTTGCTGATGTCATTTTTGTTCTTTCTGTGGGATGAAAAAAACATTCAGAAAGTACTGTGAATAAGCTCTGTACGTAAATGGTATCTGTGAAAGCATCTAGTATTACTATACCATTAAATTAGACTGAAAGCTATCACTATATTTCTTTGCAGTTGTGCAATTATTGCCATGATTTTTATTATTTGCACGCAACGATTTTTTAAAAGATGCCAAAAAAAAAGGTCACAGGACCAGATTATCAGGAGCAGGACAGAGAGAGCTGCAAGGGAGCGACGTAAGAGCTTGGAGGACAGAGTTCACAGTGTCTTGGGGTGTTGACAAGTTCACAGAGCACTGGAGCCAGAATGGCAGTCCGACAGCTCCCGACTGCCCTCCTTCCACCTCTCGACTTCCCAAGCACCAGGACACAGAAGGCTCATGGGGCTCCCCCGACTGACTCGGGAGTTCTAGGGTTCTAGGGCTCAGTAGAGAGATCCGACTTGTCCTCTGGTTGCCCTTTGTTATTGGTAAAGCTGGGACTAGAATTCAGGCCTCCTACCTTCCCAGACAGTGCTCTTTTTGTTACATGAAGCTACTTTACAAATCATAATGAGGGGTGGTTTGCTTGCCAATCCCCCTCCCAAATCAAACCACCTACTTACAGATCGACACACATTCTCACATACTGGGTCAGACAGTTCACTCCTAGCAATGGTTGGAAAGTGAGTCTATGATCACGCATTTTAAATTAGATTTACCCCGAGTAAGACAATCTGAAGATGTTTCCTTCTATGTCACTCACCTGAGGAAGGCACCAAGTGACTCAAGGGTCATGAAATGAACTGTCCTGCACGTGGTAGAGATGTTGGCCCTTGGTACAAACTCTAATCAGACCTGTTACTGTGTGACTCCCAGTCCTCAACCAAGACTTACTGGCTCATGACTACCTTCCCGTCTCAGGAACCAATCACCCCAGGCTGCTTGCTGGAGTGGCTGTACCACATGAGTGCATAGCTAATCTGAGGCTTGTAGCTGCCCAGACACTCACATTTTGTCCCCTCTGGATAACTCTACCTAGTCTCACACAATTTCTACTTGCATTGTTTGTTTCTGATGATCTGATGGAATGCTAACAAAGGTTGGCATTCCCAAACGGGCAGCCGGGCCTTACTGGAGACAGAGAATAACTTGAAATAGGCTCATGTCTATGGTAGAAGTGGTAACATGCTAGACTTCCTCTACCTGTTATATCTAAATTATTCCAACCATTTATTATTCTCCTAAATCAAAGGTCATAACTTTCCTTATTTGAAGAGTTAATCACCAAGAAGGAGGTCAATTCCTTCCTTCTCTTGCTTCACTCTAGACTATATCTTTATAGGTGTGTAGTTTTAGTGAGATACAATTCACCCATTTATTGGTTCTTAGCAGTTTAAAATTTTACGACCATTATCACAACCCATTTTAGAATAGCTCAAAAGGGCCTGGCGCAGTACCCTAGTGGCTAAAATACTCACCTTGCAAGCGCAGGTATCCAAAATGGGTGCTGGCTCTAATCCCAGAAGCCCTATTTCCCATCTAGCTCCCAGCTTGTGGCCTGGGAAAGCAGTCAAGGATGGCCCAAAACCTTGGGACCCTGCATCTGCATGGGAGACCCAGAAGAAGTTCCTGGCTCCTGGCTTTGGATCAGCTCAGCTCTGGCCATTGCAGTCACTTGGGGAGTGAATCATTGGATGGAAGATCTTCTTCTCTGTCTCTCCTCCTCTCTGTATATCTGATTTTCCAATAAAATACATAAATCTTCAAAAAAAATAGCTCAAAAGAATCCTCAGATGGCTTAGCCATCACTCCTTAGGTCTCTCCTGTCCACTCACCCTACCATCACAGCCCTGGGCCAAGTACTAAGGCACTTAGTAGTTACCTCTATTTAGATTTGCCTGATTTAGAAAATTCGCATCATGTGGTCACATGACAGGTGGCCCTTTGTGACTAGCTCACTCCATTTATCCTATCAGTGCTTCATTCCCTCCTGTAAAATACTCCTTTATATGAATACATCCTGTCTTGTTTAGTCACTTGTCAATTGGTGGACATGGCAGCTGTTGTTGACCTTCTAGCTATTATGAATGCTGCTATGAACATTCATGTGAGTGTTTTTATTTCTCTTGGGCTTACAGCTAAGAGTGAAAGTGCTATATTTAATTTTTTCAACGCGAATGTACCATTTTATGGGACCACTTAATGTTTCTTTCAGCAGTGGATATGGGTGCTTTCTCTACATCCTCACTGTTTTTGTTGGTTTGCTTTGTTCTTTAGATGGCTATTCTAGTGGCTACACAGTGGTGTCTCCTGGCAGATTTCATTTGTTATCTGCTCAAGACTAATGATGTTGAGTAGCCTTGTGTGTGCTTACTGGTCATGTGCCTATCTTCTCTGGAGGAATGGCTATTCAAATCCTTATTTTTAAACTGTGCTGTATTTTTATTACTGAGTGGAAAGTGTTCTTTTTTATACTCTAAATACATATCCCTGAAAGTATCTTTAGAAGTTCATGAAAAAAAGAGATTCAAAAGAAAATAGACAGGTGTTTGCGGCTGTGGTTACGATGCTGCCTGGGAAGTCCACATCCCCTGTGAGCGTGCCTGGCTCTGAGTCCTGGCTCCACTTCCCATCCCACTGCCTGCTATGGTGCACTCCTGAAGGCAGCTGGCAAGGCTCAACTAGCCATGTCCCCATCATCCACGCAGGAGACCGGGTTGAGTTCCCAACCCCTGGCTGTGGCCTGGCTATTTGAGCAATGAGCCAACAGAGTACTCTCTAAAACAAATACAGTTTTAATGGCCAGGAAGTTTCTGAAGGCCCTGAAGATGACATGCACTTGTGTTAACCCATGCTGGGATTGTTTTTTCACCTTTGGAGCACAAATGCTTGTTATATTATATTGGTGGAGTTAAATCTTTCTTTTTTTTTCCTTTTGTGGCTGTGCTTTTTGGATTTTTCTCTTAAAAAAAAAGTTCCATCTGCTCCCTCTTAGGGGTCAACTATCAAAAACTTTCCCTTTCTTTTTTTCCTTTCTTAAAAAACAGTTTAGTTACACATCCTAGTTTCACACTATAACCCATCTCCAATATTCTTGAGAAAAGTAAAAACAAATACTTGCAAGGCACAAAGAATCAGAAGGAGGATTTTGAACTCTCACCACTCACCTGCAACAGGTAACGATCAGTGCAATGCCCAGAATAAGCAGCAACCCTCCTCCTGCTGCTGCGATGACCACGGTGATGAGCTGATAGGCTGAACACGGTAAACAAACAAAATAAGGAAAATACGGACGAATGGCAAAGAATGCTCTCCCCGCCAGCCCCGGCTGCCCTTGCTTTCCACTTCCTGGGCTCTGCCAAGGGCCCCCTGACAGCCAGCGCTACATGTTCTCTGCATGAGAAGGGTTTAGAAGGTTTCAGCCACAACTAGGAGTGTCATCAGCCCCCAATGACACTTTCACCAATTCATGGCAAAAAAAAAGAAAGGTGAATAATGAGTTTTTAGGAAGCTTTATTTGTTCCAATTTAAAGGCTACTCTATGATCTAAGATTTAGGTTCTTTCCAACCCCCCCCACACTTAGGATGGGTGCCCATGTGTAAATCATGCCTCAAGAAAGTTGACATTAAAAAAGCATTGATAAAAGCACAATATTGGGCAATGGTTCAGTGTCTAAATCCTCGCCTTGTAAGTACTGGGATCCCATATGAGCACTGGTGCATGTCCTGGCTGTCCCACCTTCCATCCAGCTCCCTGCTGAGGCCTGGGAGAGCAGTCAAGGACGGCCCAAAGCCTTGGAATCCTGCACCTGCGTGGGAGACCTGGAAGAGGTCCTGGAAGAAGCTCCTGGCTCCTGGCTTCGGATTGGCTCAACTCCAGCCATTGAGGCCATTTAGGGAGTGAACCAGAGGATGGAAGATCATTCTTTCTTTCTCTATTTTTTCTAAAAATCTTCCTTTCCGATAAAAATAAGTTATTAATAATAAAAAGAACACAGAATCTTTTCTTGGTCACTTCCTGCCCTTTAGTGTTAATTGTTAAACTTCTTTTATTTGATGGTGAGAACAGATATAAAAATGCTTAACTCAGTTTAGGTTCACACTTGATAACCCTGGGGTTGGGATGAAGCCAGGAACCAGGAATTCTATCCCATGTGGGCGGCAGGTAGCCGGGCCACCACCCACCACCTCCCAGGTGAATTAGCAGGGAGCTGGACCAGGATGTGACGAGGCCAGGATTTGAACCACCACTCTGACACGGATGCAGCCATTCCAGGCAGTGACTTAACCTGATGTAATACAACACCCATCCTGACTTCCCAGATTTATAAAAACATGACTGGTCAGTTCAGTCCACAGTCCAAGAATCACTTCATCAACCATGCCTGAGACTGAGAAGGCCCCTCAGTGAATTCACTCTGAATTGAGTTAGTAGCAATGAGATAAGCAAGCACATGTTATAAGTAATACTAAAAGGGGCCTGGCATGATAGTCTAGTGGCTAATGTCTTCACCTTGCACACGCCAGGATCCCACATGGGTGCTGGTATCGTGTCCCAGTAGCCCCCACTTTCCATCCAGCTCCCTGCTGTGGCCTGGGAAAGCAATGGAGGACGGCCCAAAGCCCAGGGACCCTGTACCCATGCGGGCAACCTGGAAGAGTTCCTGGCTTCGGATTGGCTCAGCTCAGGCCGTTGCGGTCACTTGGGGTCACATTAGATGGAAGATCTTCCTCTCTGTCTCACTGTATATTTGACTTTGCAATAAAAATAAATAAATCTTTTTAAAAAGTTACAATTCATTGTTTTGTTGCTGTGGAAGTAGAATGAAAATTGTGTTCTCAGGATGCCAGTCGCAGGACAAAAGGGCAGTTAGCAGTGCTACTCGCCCTCTGACACCTGTTGCTAAGTGTTTCTCAAGCAACGGCTCCTTCCCTTCATCTTCGCAGCCTGACATTACTGTCGGCATTGCTGGTGTCTTTTGCATCAAACCAACGTTAAGATTGGGCTGTAGCCTTTCCTGTAAACTATTTGTTTTTGTTCACAGCTTAGTCTACCTTTTCAATGAAGCGGTTCCCTTCCTTCCATCTGTGATGGGGTCGGTAACTGTAACATGACACCTGAACATGGCCAACTGCATGGGAATAAGCACGTGGTACATACGGAACCAATGACTTCCTTTCCAGGGATCTCAAAGTGGGAAAGACAGAGCCTGTTCTTTCGAGATGGCTGACTCAGTCACACACACACACACACACACACACACACACACACACACACACACACACACACGCACGTCTGGAGACTGTTGTTCATCATGTGGTCTGGGAAGAAGCCGCCGGTGGACTAGCAAGGGGAGACAAGCAGACTGAGTGATGCTAACTTGCCCTGACAAGAAGGCTCTGCCTCCAGCGGCTCACTGTGAGGTTCCCCACACGGGCCTGCTCCTGCCAACCCTTACAACGAACCCCTGCTGCTTCAACCAGCTAAGTGTATTTAATCCAAGAGAATTTAAACCAACCACCATGTCTTCTTTTCAAACACTTGAATGCATTACAGAATTTTCTAGATAGCCACATTCATTTTATTTTAAAATTCACCCAATTCTCTCCATCCTCCCCGCTCCTCTCACTGAGCTTACTGTGATTCAGCCCATTTGCATCTCTGATCACGGTATTATGTTTTTCTTGGCACTCCCTGAGTTTTGCCTTTTTCATGTCTGCAGGCTGTGCGTGGACACACTCTGTACCCATGGCCTCCCACCCTCACAACTTCCCACATGATTCTGTCACTTTCTCCTGAGGGATCTGTCCCTTCCGTCTCATCACAGTCCCTCTGGGTACAAAGATTAGAGACCAGCACTCCCCTCTCTCCAACTCCTCCTTTCTGTTGGTGAGGAAGCCAGTCAAGATGGAGTGGAATGACCACTCTAAGACTCCTACTGGCTTCCAGATAATTAATCATCTCTCCTTCCTCCTAAACTGGTGCTTGTTTGTAGTGACTCCTGCCAACACAGTGTTTCCTCTGATCTGAATCTTTTCACAGCTTGATGCAACAACCATTGAGTGAACATAACAACTGATTATTGAGACACCTGCTGTTAGACAGTGGGTTGGGGTAGGGAGACAGCTCAGAATGGTCTGTAAGTGGAATGTTCTGGTTTTTCTGGAAGAGAATGGTAAATGGGAAAGGCCGGCTCTGACCCCTCACTGGGGCTTAGGGATCCCCAATAAGAGATGCAGAACATCTGAAGGCAGAGAATGACCTATAAAACAACATGGTGAATATGAAAGAAGGATGCATAAAAATGTCTGTGACAAAAGCAAGTAAGGTAAAAAACTGATGTGAGCTCTGTAATCACAAGATGACAATAGTCACAAGGCAGAAAAAACGACTTAAGTATGGGACTATTAAAATAAAACTGAAAAGACCGTATCAAGGCAATAGCTAAGCCCATTATACCAATACAGCATAGAACTACCCAAAATCACATTATGTGGCATGCATTGTGGAGCAGAGAGTTAAGCCAGTGTTAGGAAGACCCTATCTCAAATCAAAGTGCTGGCTTGGGTGCTGGTGCCTCCACTTCTCAGCGAGCTTCCTGCTGATGCGTTCTGTGAGGCAGCAGATGATGGCTGAAGTGTCTGAACCCCTTCGACATGTGCGGTAGATGTGGATGGCTTCTGGGCTCCTGGCTTTGGTCTGGCCCAGGCCTAGCTGCTGTGGGCATCTGGTAGTGAGCTAGTGGATGGAGCATCTGTGTCTGTTTCATCTCTCTCTGTTGTTCATCCAAGGAGATGAGAGTACAGAAACTCTTTAAAAGTGATATAATGAAACTGTAATATAATGAATATAATGAAAATGAAAACATTTCATAGTTTACTAGGCTTACAAGCAGGTTACAGAATAGTATGCCTAGGCCCACCATGATAGCCTAGTGGCTAAATACTGCCGGGATCCCATATGGGTGATGGTTTGTGTCCCAGTTGCTCCACTTCCCATCCAGCTCCCTGATTGTGGCCTGGGAAAGCAGTCCAGGACAGCCCAAAGCTTTGGGACCCTGCACCCACATGGGAGACCTGGAAGAAGATCCTGGCTTCAGATTGGCTCAGCTCCAACCGTTCATTGCAGTCACTGGGGTTGGGGGGAGCGTTGAACAAATGGATAGATGATCTTTCTCCTTCTATCTGTATATCTACTTTCACAATAAAAACAAGTATTAACAAAAATAAGTGACGCATCCCATATGGGATGCCAGAGCTGCAAATGGAGGATTAGCCTGATATGCCACCATGTCAGCCCCCACAGTTGTGTGTCTTTCTTTTTATATCACGTGTCAGATGGCCCCAGATTTGTTGTCAGACACATCCCTCTTGGCTCGGTGCTCTACTCCTTCTTTTGGGCGTGAGTGTTTCTTGTGTCACTTGGAATTCATGTGGCTTTCCCCTCACAGTTTTATATTATGTGCTATGATGCTTTGCTTCACCTTTTTCTAAATTTAAAAATAAATTAAGTGCATGTCCATTCATTTTTGTTTAATTAAAAAACCCTCAGTTGTAATCAGAAAATAGACATAAAGGAAGGCAAGAACAATTTACAACATCGAAACTCGTGCAGACACAAAGCCATAAAGTGACAGCCACACCCCATTAACAGAGCTTTCAGAAGTCACCATAATTTAGTGATAAGCTACCAGTTAGCTACACAAGGTGGCCGAAACCTCACCATCCAAACAGGTGTCTGCCCTCTGCTGGGCATGAAGATGGTGACTCGGACAAAGGGGGAAGAAAAACAGACCTCAGGGATCCAAGAGAAACCCTGGCTGCTTCCGGGGCCCCACCAACAGCATGAGGACAAGCTGACTTCGCTCCAACACAAAGTCTTAAACACCAGTACACAAATCTCAGGGAACAGCAACCCCGACACACAGCATTGAACACAATCTTGAGAAAAAAAAGGTTAGCAATGCATGTTATTTAGAACACTAGACAGGGAGCACACATGTGCGGGTCAATGCTGTGGCATAGTGGGGTAAGGTGCATCCCATACTGGAGACCAGTTCGAGTCCCAGCTATGCCACTTGCAATCCAGCTCCCAGTTAGTGTGCCTGGAAGGCAAGAGGTGATGACCTGCCCACCCATGTGGGAGACCTGGATGCAATTCCTAGCCTTTGGCATCTCCCTGGCTGGGCCCGCACTTGGTTGCTGCAGGCGTCTGGGGAGAGAAGCAGCAGATGGAAGAGCTTTCTGCTTGTGATACTGTCTTTCAAACAAAAATAAGCACTTCCTTAAAAATGTAAACACATACAATTCCACATTCCAAGGGGCTTCTGCACAGCTATCCTCCGAACTTCAAACGATCAAGAACAAGAAACTGGTTCACTCACAAAGCAATTCTTAAAAATTACTACTTTAAATGAAAAAAAAGTTTTTAAAGTTTAAAATGTATTTAGTATTTATTCGAAAGAATGACAAAGAAAGCAGGAGAGACAAAGAGATCTTTCATCCTCTGCTTCATTTCCCCATCTTCCATTGCTTTCCCTAGCATATCAGCAGGGAGCTGCATTGGAAGTAGAACAGCTGGAAATGGAATCAGAGCTCAGAGATGGGATGCCAGCAATGCAGGTGGCAGCGCAACCCACTGCTCCACCAGGTTGGCCGCCACCAAGTGATATTTAGAAAAAGACATATACAGGGAGATGGCCCCTCAGTGGCCGCCATGTCGCCGAGGGATCCCAGGGCCCCTAGCTAAGCTCCACGCCTGGATCGCACACGGCGGATGCCATGCGCAAGGGAGAGGGTCTCCCCAAGAAGCTGTTGAACTTATCCGGATGATGAGATGCTGGACTCTACGCTAGGTACAGGCTCACAGGGAAGGAATCTCAACTGAACTTGAACTGTGGACACGCAACAAGGTGGAGGAATCCACCATGGGGGGAGGATTGGGGAGGAGAGGGGGGAATTCCAGTACCTAAAAAGCTGTATCACATAATGCAACGTAATAAATTGGAAAAAAAAAAGAAAAAGACATATACCATCACCCTTTAAATTGTTTTATATAAACCAAAATCACCCAAACCTAAGCCAATGCTTTAAAGTTAAAAAGAATTTGGGCAATTAAAAAAAAAGTGCAACTATAATCATTTCTTTGACTTGTGATAGTGAGTTCCTGGCACACTGGTTGGATTCCAAGAGACAAATGCAGAGTGCAGGGCTGTTTGCTCACCACTCAGGGACTACAGGTTAAAAATCAAGGCTACTTTAAAAATCAATATTTCTGGGCTGGAGCTGTGGTATAGTAGGTTTTGCCTCCACCTGTGGTACTTGCATCACAAATGGCCACTGGTTCGAGCCCTGGCTGCTCCACTTCTGATCTAGCTCCCTGTTTATGGCCTGGGAAAGCAGAGGAGGATGGCCCAAGGCCTTAGGCTTCTACCACTCACATAGGAGACCTGGAAGAAGCTCCTGGCTCCTGGCTTTGGAATGGCCAAATTCTGGCCATTATAGCCATTAGGGAGTGAACCTGTGGATGGAAGAGCTTTCTCTCTTTAAAGTGGCCTTTCAAATATAAATGAGCCTTTCAAATATAAATGAGCCTTCAAACCAAACAAAAAATAAAACAGAGGAAGGGACTGACAAACTTCCTTTATTAAAAAAATTTAAAAAACAGAAAAATAATTGTATCTATGTACCCCTCCCTCTCTAGTCACGTGATTCTAAAAAGATTTATTTTTATAAACCATTTCCCTAGTCCTTAGACTAACTATAATAACCTACTGATAGCCTGCTGTTAGGATAATCACCCTGATTGGGTATGTAATTCAGGTCTCCATACTGTCGCCTTAGAGAAACTTCTTGATGAGGACACCAGATCGTTCTTTTTTCTTTTTTTCCTAAAATGTATTTATTTTTAGTAGAAATGCAGATTTACAGAGAGAAGGAGAGACAAAGAAATGATCTTCTTTTCACTTCCCAAGTAGCCACAAGTAGCAGCAACAGCTGGAGCTGAGCTGATCTGAAGCCAGAAGCCAGGAGCTTCCTCTGGGTCTCCCACGCAGGTGCAGAGTCCCAAGGCCTTAGGCTGTCCTTGACTGCTTTCCCAGGCCACAGGCAGGGAGCTGGATGGGAAGTGAAGCAGCCGGGACACAAACCAGTGCCCATATGGAATCCCAGGTATCAAAGCGGGTAAGATCAGCCAATGAGCCATTGTACCAGCATCAAGATAACTAGCTTATATCAGTTTTGTACCTAATATCAAATTTGAAATATTTGAATCTGAATATATTGAAATAATATTTGAAACTTGATGATAGAAAAAAAGCTCTATGAACAATGACAGTATCATTCAGTACATTTAAAAGTAAGGCATAGCATTGGGGAAAAGAGAACAGGGCCTCCACCACATTAAATAAAACCATGACTACTTAGAATATGAACCACTGGAACATGCTCATGGGTAAAATGAAGGAAAGTTATCCTACAATAAAGACTTGATTGCTCCAGCTTCCTGCTTGTGGCCTGGGAAAGCACTGGGGGATCACTCAAATCCCCTGCACCCCCACAGGAGACCAGGAAGAAGCTCCTGGTTCCTGGCTTCAGATCAGCTCAGCTATGGCCATTAAGGCCATTTGGGGAATGAACCAATGGGTGGGAAGATCTTTGTCTCTTCTTCTCTCTATAACTCCACCCTCCCCCAACCCCCGGCCAAAACAACAACAAACCAACAATCAAACAAAAAACAACTTGTTCACTTATTATTTCTGTTACATACTAATGTATTTCTAACTTTCAAAATTTTTCCAGGGCCTAGTGCAATGGTTCAGTGGCTAAATTCTCACTTTATATATGCAATTGAAATAAAAATAACTAATTATTTAAAAAACAAAATCTTTAAAAATTTTTCTTCCATAATTTTGTAGGTCACTTTAATTGCTAATGTTTCAAAGTAAAAAAGCAGCACTGGGACAAAAATGTCCCAGTCACTGTCCCCAAATGACACCGCGAGCACCATGCCCATGATCACCGCCAGCTTGGAGCCAAGGCCCTGAGCTCACACTGGAACCACCGGGACGTCTCTAACCTGAGCCTGCTCTCTGTCCAGTCTCTGCGGACTGCAACCTGACTCACTTGCTTTTCACCGTGCTTTCCTGTCCCAGCACTGGGCAGCTCCCCGCTGGCCACTAACCACAAGCTCACCTCCTCAGCTCGAGGACCAAAACCCCCACAGCTCAGTGCCCACACACTTTGCCAACCTGACGTGTTACTTTCTACCTTCCCTTCTTGCTTTCCTCCAGCCACCCTTACGCATATACCGTGCCCACTGCATCACGGGCCCCCGCCTGCCTCCTGTTTTTTAGGTGGCTCCATCTGTCTGGGATGTAACACTCCAACACCCATAAGCCAGAGGCTTTACAAACTTTGCTGTAAACCTCAGAGAAGGCTCGGGCTGCCCTACCCTTCTGTGGGTGTTGAGGGGTGTCCCTGTCTGCAGACCTCACACTTTCTGTCCCAATCCATCAAACATTAGCACCTGGCAGAGCTGAGGCGACTCACATTCATGTCTCCCCCAGGCCCTGAGTCCCTGGGCAGCCCCAGTGAGGCCAGCGAGGACCCATGAAGACAGTGAAGCTCATGCAAGGGGAATAGAGGGGGAGAGCAAGAGACCCTGTGCTCCCTGACCACGGGCGGGGGCCAGGCAAACCCCTCGCTGCTCTGTACTTACGGTTTCCACAGTTGAGACCTCCGAGGCCGAACGGGCAACTATAAATGCACAAAGAAAGGAGGGTGAGAGTTGGTTTCAAATCTCCAAATAATGGAGGCAGTTTTTAGGAAGGACTGTAACAAATTCATCAGAATAAAAGGATGTGGAGCCTACCTCATGCAGGTTTCATTTTCAAGCCTGTATCCATCTTCACAGGCTGAAAGAGAGAAAAGGGAAAGTCAAGAATGCGGATGTTCACCTCCCTTGGCCCAAACCTAGTTAGATGCCTAAAGTCCACAGAGCATTCTAGAATCAGGAGGCCACAAGTAACTTTAGAATGATTATAAATCCTGTGGCCAGTTTAACTGTTAACCCTCATCAAGAAATTGTTTTTGGGGCTAGCACTGTGGCATAGTGGGTAAAGCCAAAGCTTGTGGCATCAGCATCCTATATGGCCACCAGTTTAAGTCCCAGCTGCTCCAATTCATATCAAGTTCCCTGCTAGTGTGCCAGGGAAAGCAACAGAGGATGGCCCCATGCTTGGGCTCCTAAACTCACAAAGGGGACCCGGAATCTCCAGGCCCGACTCCAGCAGTTGTGGCCATTTGGGGAGTGAACCAACAAGTAGATCTCTTTCTCTCTGTAACTGCCATTCAAAAACTAAATAAATGTCCCTTTTTTATTTAAAAGAAATTGTCGGGCACGGCGCGATGGTGCAATGGTTAAGGTCCTGGCTTCGGATCGGCATAGCACTGGCCATTGTGCTCACTTGGAGAGTGAATCATTGGACGGAAGATCTTCCTCTCTGTCTCTCCTCTCCGTATATCTGCCTTTCCAATAAAAAAATAAAATAAATCTTAAAAAAAATAAAAGAAATTGTCCTTCATCTCCTTGTGGTTCTCAATCTCCTAGCTATAAAAAGAATAACAGTAAGACGTGCTGGATAGTTCCTTGGATGAGGTTAGGTAAAACATTGCATGCACATGGCTTAGCACAAACTAGCAGCTAAGTAAATATCTTTGGTTGTAATGACTACCCAATGATTGCAACTCTTTTTGGAAGTTATGGACAGATGAAGGACGTCCCTACGGAGTGCTCTTCCCTGTACAGATAGATGCTTCATCTCCTTTAATGTACATCAAACCTTCAGCCCCAGGCTGGTCCCGCTGGCCCCGCTCCGCGAGGTGGAGGGAGCCGTGGCGGACATTCTCTGTGGCGCCATCCTGGTGGGTGCCAGGTCTTTCTAAGAGAAGGCTCATGCCACAGTCGGTGCAAGGTGTGACTTTACAGTCACCTCCCCCAGGAACACAACCTGGGACCCCCTTGCCGGGGCAGCTGCAGCCCAGGCATCCCCCTGCACCCGCAGTTTCCAAGCCTGTCCCTCTGAGACTGTCAGCACTACAGTGAGAGACCAGAACACCACAGGCTAGGACAATGCCTAGGTGAAAACAGACGATGAAAAATGGCTTTACAAATTCCTTGCATGCTACAGATCTGAGAACCTGGACTGTAATGCTTCCCTTTGTCCCGAGCAACAGGCGCCTGTGTTAAAGGCTCCTAGTGACCAGCAGCAGTCCTGGAGCTCCCTGCAGGCGGGGTGACGTGGCCACAACACCACCGTGCACTAACCTCTTTATGGGGGTGCCTGGAGGAAGGTCTTCCTGGTCTCACTACTTAGAATGAGGGGGGTGTTCCTAGGCATTTATCCTGGATTCTGGGGACCCTGACTCTTCTCAAAGCCATTAGTGTGTCTTCGTTTCAGTGTCTAGCAAGCTCAGAACTCAAACGAGTGGCCTGCCTTCCTGTATATTCCCTTTCCTTCTGGCCTCCATGTAATAGTTAGTTTATTTCTCCTTCAACCCCATTTAAGCGGCTGTACTTTCTTAGTTTCATTACGTGCTTTGTATATCCGGGAGAGCACAGTGTGTGTACTCCAGGTAGGAAAGGACAAACGGGCCCATCTCTCCCTCCTTGACTCCTTCGAGTTCTCTTGCAGGTCTCCCATGGGTAGTGCCATCAGGCAGGCCAAACACTTCTGCCTCTGGGAGGCAGGTCCTGCACCTCTGGGAGGCAGGTCCGCTTTGCACACCTCAAGGACTGGCACAGGAGGAGCAAGCAGCTCTGTCTGTAGGGTAAGCTGCCCCAGGGAAGCTCAGGCCTCCACTAGCTCAGCACCCAAGCAGGCCGATGCCACCCCAGCCTGTCCTATTCTACGTATGTCTGCCTGGAAATGCTGTCAGATCAGATCTACCTCCGTACCCCTCAGTCTGTTTGGTGAGAGCTTCCCGCTCCAAAGATGCAGCAAAATCCGGTGTCCTGCCTGCAAGCTGCAGGCTGGGCTCTTAGCACTTTGCCTCCGGAGTGGCCGGACTCCCTGATGTAAAGATGGTCCTCTATTTCAAACAGACTCAGCCATTCATCAAAGACTGAGTGACTGTGCGTGCGCTGCTGCTTTGGGGGATCCTGTGGGCAAGGCCCTCATATAGGTCAAAGGACTAAAGACGAAGTAAGTGTTAAGCAGGCAACAAACAGGCCCAAACTCCCCCTTCCCCCGAAGGCTGCCCTGGGACCTAAGCAAACCCAAGCCTTCAGGACTTAACATAAATGAGGAATGACAGTCTCAAAAACTCTTTTGTTCCCTTGCTGGAAATGAAATCAAGCTGTCCCAGTCTCTCCTTACCATATTTGCTGTCCTATTACCCATGCATTCTTTCAAAAGTCATTTGTTGAACCCCCACCATGCGCTAAGCGCTATTCCAGATACGGTTCTGGCTCTCAAGGCACTTGTGGCCTGATGAGATGCAAACAGATTGTTAGACTTCATCGTGCTGTCTGCACATGGCAAGAAAGCTAGGAACCTACAAGAGGGACACCGACTTGAACTTCTTAACTGGATCAAAACCTGGTTGAAGAAATCAAAAGGACATTGCATGGGAAGTACCCAGGAGCATATAGGTATGTGTGCACAGGTGTAAGTGTGTAACCGACAGAGAACTAAGTAGAGAGATCTGCTCATGTACACTCATGTTTCAGCGACCTACACGTACTTCTGTCCTCCATTCAGAGGACTGACCCCCAGACGTAGGATGATTAGAAACAAGCTTGTGTTTCAGCACACTGGCCAGAAGGGGTCGCTGCTAACTAACCCATCAGAGCCCAGTTGCCGGGGCTGTGGCCCAGGAAGCTCAGAGACGTGGTGACACTGCAGAGAGGGGACTCCAGGGGTCTTGACAACAAGCCCAAAGTGAACACCGTTTTCCCTGTGTGGCTCCTTGGGTAAACACAAGGCTCTTGGTGCCCGTGTCAGTGGTTGCATCGGGCAAATCTCTGACAGCTCAGCTGTTTCTAAATGCTGTGCTGGAAGGGAGACTATGAAACCCACCGACCTGGAAACAGAGGGAGTGGCTCAAGCCTGCCAGGAACAGAGGTGGCAGGCAGGGTGGTTCACACAGGGGTTGCCATGTGTACGGAGCCTAAGCTTCTGCCAACCCTGTGTCACCTCCTTCCAGCTGCACAGCACCCTAGTTCACAGGGATTCTAGCACCAGCACCTCCCTACTTGAAGCTGTATCAACTCCCCATTTCTGCTCCAAAGAACACTTCTCTTTACATCAGGGAAGAGGGAAGTAGGAAGCTCTGTCCTTTTGTAGCAAAGCGGCAGACTGGTGTAGGACCGGGAAATGCTGCGGACGGGCTATGCGTCACCACTGACATCTAACGTAAGAGGGCTGCCCTCCCTCAAGACCCACCGCACAGCCCACCCGGGAACGAGGTCAGAGGGTCAGGATGAGAGCACGGCCCTGAAATGCATTTTCATCTTCTTTTGATGGAATCAATCCTCTAATGGGAAATCATGTCTGATGACAAAAATAAGCGGCCTGTCACTCTGCCCCGGTACGTGACCTCCACTCAGATCCCAGTACATCTGTCCCTGGCAATGTGTGGGTGAGCAGGACATCTGTGCCACGCATATGCTAAGGGCAGGCAATGCTCCTGGCCACGCGATGACCTTTACTTTGCCAGTTCCTCTGCCGAGCACAGAGCGGTGTTCATCTTCCGGAACGCAGAGTACACAGTGCTTTGGACTTGAATGCATTTTTTTTTGTAAGCCATAGTTTCAGACTACTCTCCTTGAACAGTCTTTCTCTCAAACCAAATGAATTTAAGCTTCACTTAAAAGGCTAGCAAAATTAGATTTCTGCTCCTAGACACTTGAAGAACCTTTAAAAATAATGGTAATCTACTAGTTTAATGTTGACAGCTTTGGAAGTTCCTCCAAGGAGGCTGCCCTCTTTAATTCTCACAGCCTCCAATACAGAACCATGACACCCATTTCTCAAGAGAGGAAACTGAGGGACTTGCCCAAGGCGACATACCATCAGCAAGGCAGAGCCAGGCTCTTAATCACAGTTTTGAGCCTTGGCCAAGTATATTGCCTACTGGGCCACAGGTGCCACTGAAAGAGACGGACCTGGTGCCATGCTTTCATTTCTATTCCCAAAGGTTAGCAGACAACAGATGAAACTTGGGAAATGAAAACGAGAACTTTTCTAAGTTCCTCTAAATGAAAAGGGAGAAAGAAAGAAAGGTGTTGCTACCACCAACACTCTCTCCTCTTTTCCTTTGAATTGGACTGGTTGGATCCATGAGCACTAGGCAGAGATAACGCTATTATTCCAAGGAGATAATATATTCAAGCTCTTGCTGAGAGCAAAATAACAAGCACCAGCACCCTCCCAGTTTTCAAGTGTTGAAGCCAGAACCCGAAGGAAAGAGGCCAGAGTGGTTTGCCATCCTTCCCCAGAATGGCCCGGGGATGAAGTCGCTACCTCGGCAGGAGTGATCCATCTTGTTGAACTGGAAGTAGCCTGACTTGCACTGGCACAGTGCAACGCCGTCCAGGTCCGTGCAGATGGAAGTCTCCTTGTCACATTCTGGACTCTTCCGCTTGCACAAGCTGCCGGCTGCAATGCAAACACTCAACAATGGAGCAAAACAGAAATTTCAACCCTCCTCCCACAGGATGCCCAGCTCCAGGAAAGAGTCCGTGAAGCGGCACTCCTCTTGGAGATGTCCGCTTTGCTACCCTTGCCCCTCCCTCCCTGCCGCTCCACCCATCCATCACTCCAGTTCCACAGGTGCTCGCCCTTGAGAACACCCTCCCAGTGCATCCTGGACCCACAGATACCTGGGAAGAAACAAGCTGCATCCCTGGCCCTGGTACCCAGTGTAAGTACAGCCCTTGATGGAGTGGGGAAGGGGGCTTGGAAATAGATCAAAAGGGGCCAAATCTGACCATCTGCCTGCGATCTTAAGAAGCCGAGAGACTTGAACCAAAGCATGGCTAGCACTCACCAGAACTGCCCCTAACAAAACTGCTGTCTTGGCTCTGGGTGTCTGTATGGCTTAAAGGGACCCAGCACCGTACCTATGCCAGGCAGCTAGCTTTCTGCCCACCCCTTCCCAGTGTCCTGCTGTGCTGCCTACCAGAGATTTACTATGTGGAGTATCAATTAAAAATTACTTTTTTAATCTTGAAAAGGGAAGGAAGCCTTTTCCTACCCAGGGCTGGCAGGTCTTTCTTATTGGTCAGAACACATTTGAGGCAGGGACCAACCCTGGCTGCCACCAAGAGGAATGACAGGTGGGCAGAGAACAAGCCCATCACTCAGGCTTCTAACTCACTCCCATTCGGACCCCATTCCTTCCATGGATGAATAGAATCCATGTATCCCTGTCCCCAACATCCAGTATTGGGCTCGTGGTCCTTTATGAACTGCTATATAATGGGACACGAGGGTATCTCTGGCTATCGGAGGGAGGCCCGAAACAAACCAAGTGATCACCTGGATAATAAATAATAACTTTGGTAAACCCACACCCGGGGATGCTGCCTGGGTATGCGCTGCAGCTGCCGCCACTGGGAGGCAAGGGCAAGTTTGGAATGGAAAGAGAGCCGCAAGGCAAAGTGCCCCGTGTATATCACGTACTGAGGAACGTCTGCCAATTCGCCAGGCGCAGTCTCCTCTCTCTATCATGAGAAAGAGACCAAGCTACTGGGAAACCAGGTACCATCTGTTAACACTGCAAAACACCTGCTACCCACCAGGTTCTGGCTCATGGGACTTTGGGTGAGTCCTGGGAACTTGGGGTGGGGTAGGGGGTGGTACTGGACAGCCTGGATTTAGGGGAGGTGAGCTTAGGACAAGCTTCAGTTCTCAGTGCTGAATTTCCTGCCTTTATCAGTGGAAGCTGGCATGCCAAATCAGAGGCCCATTTGTGTGTGTGTGACAGAATTTCCTTTGTTTATTGCAAAAAGCTTGTATTTGGCGGGGAGGTGGCGGAGATGAAAAATAGAAAGTTTCACTAGGCAAATACTGCAAAGCTGGCCCCAGGGAGGGGCCAAAGTCCCACAATCCCTCATTAAAGCTCTTTGGCAGCTTTTTTTTTTTTTTTTGCCAGTTCTCCGACCTTCATAGAAAGGAATGCCTCCAGGGCACACAGAGTTGTCCAGGCTGGCATGTCTCTGGTCTCATTAGACATTTTCTGGAGGGCCACATCCCGTTCTTCCTTCTGCCCTTCCTACTGGTTCAATCTGCCGGCAAACTCTAGCTGCCTGGCCAAGGCAACCATTCACAGAAGTAGAATCATGGTAAACACGGAGAGCAGGCTCCGACTCTGCCACGAGGGAGCTGCTATCGCAAAGACCCTCAAAGAACATTCCATCAGCCACCATCAAACAGAACCACCCAGAATACCACTGGCATTGTAAGACCAATGAGATGGCATTTTTCTCCATTCACAATTCCCTTCGGTCATTCCTTGGGCCGTTAACATCCGCCCAAGCAGACAATGAGGACTCGGGTCAGTCTAAGCTGAGACATTCTGTGTGTGTGTGTGTGGGGGGGGGTGGTTTCCATGTCTGCAACTGACTAGGGATAATGAAAACTGCAGTCAAGGAAGTCGGCAGTGTGAGAATAGAAGGGGGAGGTGCCCTCCTCTCTGGCTGTATCCAGAGGAGCCCCACACGGCCCGTAGGCCACCAGGATGCTAGCACTTGAGAGAACCTGACAGCTCTTGCCTAGTCAAGACCACCTCTTCAGCACTCAGACAGGTTAGAGAGACTACAAGCTATACATGTTGGCAAAAAAAACCTGAGGAAAAAAACCTGGTGGGAAAAACAGGACAGCATGTGTTTCCAGGCAATAGGCATGAGTGCCTCTGCACTCGAGGACTCCGAAAGGAGAGGTGAGGGATGAGGGAAGCCAGGATTACACCTGTATGCAGCTTGAAGACTGAGGGGTGGAGACTGGGCAGGGCAGCTGTGGGCAGGTTCTTACAAACCCAGACATGGGGCCACATGAGATGCAGAGGCATTTGCAGGGAACAAAATCCACGACTCAGTGCAATGGTCGCCACAGAGGACAGACTTCAGCACAGGTTATGTCATGAGCTGAACCTTGCTGTGGAGGGAGAACTGGTATCTACCCTTGACTTCTTGGCAATAAAAGCAAAAAGTAAAACCGGACAGCCTCAAGGTTTCAGGCCAGATATAATGGGGCATGAACTTTGGAACTAATTCCCCAGCCAATGGCAAATTTAGCCCCAGAATGTTTAAGCTTTCTCTTTCCCGCTGCCCCACCTCCCTAGATTAATTACTAGTTCTTAAAGGGGCCAAACTCCAGCGCTTATCCCAGACCGCAAGGTTAACGATCTGACTGCCAGGCTGTGAGGCACAAGGACTGGCTGAGGAAGGCTCTCTGGCCCTGCAGCCAAAAAGCCCTCATCGTGTGTGTCCCAGATGAAAGAAGCAGACATAGCACTAAACCCCAGTACCTTCAGCCTCCATCCAGCCTCTGCACATCCGATGGAGCTGTTCAGGCCACATCGCATGCCCCTGCCAGCCCGAGTAGTGTAGTCACATGAGCTAACCAGAGTCCACCTGGATCACTTGGGACACAGTAAGTGGGACAATACCCCTTTGCAAAGAAGCACTTTGATTTCTGGCAGTTTTCCTGTCCTGGAGGCCAAACGTTCCCAGGACCCAGATTTGCCTGTGCATTTGCTGTCTCCAATCTCTTTCTTCACTTGGTCTCACAGCAGATACACGCTGTGGAAGCTAGTGACAAAACAAAGCAAGAGCAAGGCAAGGAGAAGCATCATCATCGCCACCAAGGGGAACATTCTGGCCTACATTCATCTCATCTTGTTAGACGCATTCATGATTTCCAAACACACAACCAAGCAAGATGGGCAACTCTCCATGTGTTCGTCTCACTGCCTTAGTATGTCACGGGCAAGCACAGACACTGTGTGTGTGAGCTTCAAGTCCTCCCTGAGATTGCGGAAGGGCAATTTCCGCCTTCTTCCATCAGCTGCTATATCCTCTCCTCAACTGCACAGAAGCTGGTGGTGTTGTGTGTGCAGGACACAACACGTGCACAGGTGCATATACACACCAAGGCTTCCGGCTTCACTCCCACTCTACACAGGCTCTGCGTAGAGTTTTCCTGGGTCTGAGCTCCAGGGGCCTTACACTTCTCTGCTAGACCTGCACCTAACTGAACAAACAGGTGGGGTCCCCCCACGGGATTCCTGCCTTACCTCTAAAGATCCGCCTTTGAGACCCCAGGAGCTGGCAGATCTCAGCAGAGGACCTGCAGGAGTTGACGTATCTCTGTATCCCATCGGCAAGGTCAAACAGGGTCACGTTGGAAGCCAAGGAAAAGGTGGTTTGCAAGGAGACTGCCACCACACTGGATTCCCTGGAGGCAAAGGGGACAGGGTTTCCATTGTTTTAGGATAGCATGTGGGCCCCCAGTGTTTCTGGAAAGTGAAGTGTCCTGGCCACTGTTCAGAGAGGGCAGGGGACAGCATGAAGGTGCAGTGACTTTGGCCTTCAGGTTGCTTCTTCCCAGGTTAGAACAAGCCTCCCCCGTCCCATGAAAGGGTTCATAATCAAATGTGATTCTGTTACTTACCGAGATGCGTGAACTGTGGATCGTATGTACCCAGGTAACAGTGAAAAACACATATTTAACTGAAAGGAAGAACAGGTTTATCATTAACTGCGAGTGAGACCAAAGCCTTGCACTTCCTATTTTCAGGAAAAAATAGGCATTTTCTAGTCATCAAGTTACCGGCAGTCAGCTTTTACACAAAAGTGCCTTTTTTTTTCTCCTTCTTAAATGCTTTCTGCTGTTTTAAAAGTATAAAGGGAGAGAGGCAGAGAGCCAATCAATGGGGAAAATCTTGGGCAGGAAATGATGCTCAGAACTGCATCCCTGGATGCAAAACATCTTCAAAGGAGCAGATCTCTCCTAAGATCCGGGGTCTGAAACAATTCAAAGGCAACTGTTTGCTTGGCCTTTGCACAGACAATGAGCTTCACTGCAAACTTAGCTTGGGTTTGCTGGGCCCCACACAGACCTCATCCCTTCCCCATAACTCATAATGACTCATTTCAAGATGGGTCTTGTGCAGGAGGGCTCTCCATGGGAAATTACATGACATGGGTCAACAGTCCTTTTGTTGGGAGCTAATGAAGAACTACACTCCCTGCGTTGGCCTTGAACCCTGGGACACAAAGGGACAGTGCCTGCTGGCTTGCTCCTCTGCTCTTCCTGTCTTGACCCAGGCAGACCTACCTGTCTTCAAATCCCAAGATCTCAATGATTTCTCAGACTGCAGAGGTTATAATCAAAGTTATTTGGCATTTGTATGACATTGTTTTGTAGTCTAATAGCAATATTGCTTCTTAGAATGAACTGCACGCACACACACACACACACACACACACACACACACACACACACACACACACACACACACACACAGAGCCCAAACCCAACAGGTATGATTGGTAAACAGAATGACATCTCAGGAAGACCCCTGGAGTGGCTTCCCTGGTCAGTGGGCTTCACTGTTTCATGGGAGGCAGGTATGTAGCAGGATTGTTAAATTACACATGGACACTGGGCCAAAAGTAATGAGTCAGATATGTCCCTGGGTTCTGTGACATATTTAGAGCTCTCAGCACTGGACTCTCAACCGCACGAAGCAGCTGTGGTACAGCTGCAAGAACAACAGGGGCAGGGATTGTAGATAACCCTGCTATGTGGAAATAACTTAACCTTAACCAAAGAGATGGTAGGACTTTGTTACTGGCTTCTGTGAGGTCACCTCCAAGTCCCTGGAATTCCCCGACTTATAAAACTGTCTTGGTTTCCCTGGCAACCTGAAGCCCCCCAAAGTCTAACCACATGATCTGTGGTGGGGCCTTTAGGTCAACAGTTCAGTCTTCATAGAGACTAGAGACAGGTAAGCCTTGGGGGCAGGAGGGAAGTTGCCACTTCTACAAAGCAGAACCCAAATACAGGTGGCCAACCTTGGTGCTCAAACAAGCCTTAGAGCTGGCAACACTCGTGCATAATGTCATACACAGCTGCTGAGAAGGGTGTACACTGTCCTGACTCCACAGGGGTAGGACAAGTGGGTGTGGGACCTTCCAGGACCCCGCCCCAAGCATCTCTCTTGGCTGACTTCAACCTGTCACATTAGCACATCAGTGTGATGATCCATGAATCAGAGCGGGCAATAGCTTCCAGTAAGTTTTGGGAGTCCATCTGGTGAAACCTGAGGGTGGTCTTGGGACTCCCCAAACTTACAACTGATATTAGTAGGAAGAATGGCCTGGACTGCTCCCCAACTTGGCAATGCCATTAATTTCTGGAGGCTCCTGTTCTCCAATCTGCACAGATGTTTGTAATACCTCTGAGAGGGAGTAAGCCATCTCACAGAGTCCTTGTCACAGGGTGGGTACCACCATGACACAGAAATGGAATCGGAATCTATAATTTATACAAACAAAACCCTCAGTCCTTAAAAAACACGTAATTCTTTTTTTTTTTAATGGAATTCACTGAGGCATTAGTGATTAGAACCATTAGAAAAACAAACAAACAAAAAGACCAACAAAAACCAAACCAAAAACCACTCCATCTAGACCTAAGAAATGGCTTCTAAAGGCATACCACACAGCTCACTCACTACCCAACAAACAAGTTGTTAAAGAAAAAATTGCCCTGTGTTAATATGTGGATCTGGAAGCTACCAATCACGACCCCAGCAGCACTTTTGCCAAGTTTCTCAATCTGATCAGTCTTGATTTCTGCCATTAGAGATTGTACTTGTCTGTTCCATGGAACTGCAGTAACTTCCCGGATTCAAGTAGCCAGAGAATCTACTCACATATTGCTACTGCCAGAAAGGATCACAAACTTACTGGCTCAAAAAAGAGAAATATGGGGTCTGAACAATGGCTTAACTGGCTAATCCTCCACCACTTAAGTGTGGCATCCCATTGTGTCCTGGTTGTTCCACTTCCCATCCAGCTCTCTGCTTGTGGCCTGGGAACGCAGTGGAGGAAAGCACAACTACTTAGGACCTTGCACTGCGTGGCAGACTTGGAGGAGGCTCCTGGTTCCTGGCTTTGGATGGGTTCAGCTCTTTTTGTTGTGGCCATTTGGAGAGTGAACCAGAGGATGGAAGATTTTCCTCTGTCTTTCCTTCTTTCTGTAAATTGGGAGTTACAATAAATATAAATCTTTAAAAAATTAGAGAAATATATTCTATCACTATTAGAAGGCTGAAAATCCAAAATCACTCTCACTGGGCTCAAGGTGAAATGGAGGGAGCTGATGCCCCATTCAGTCTGGAATCATCTGTTCCTTGCCACTTCCAGTTTCTTGTAGCATCTGTCTTTGTGGCTACATCACTTTTATCCTTGCCTTTGTGGTCACACCAGCATTCCAGGCTCTTGGTGTATAAACCTCTCTTTGCCTCTGGGTTAGGAGCGCATGTGAGACTGTAGGCAGGGCTTACATGGAAAACCTTGGCTAACCTAATCTCGCAATTCTTAATCACACATAGAAAGGTTTTCATGATAACATTTCTACATTCCATGGGAAAAGCACAATTTATCTCAGAGCCTAGGAAAAAATTATCAGCCACATGCTATTGGCAAAAACGAGACTTTAGTAATCCAGCTGCTACCCCAGTGGCAACCAATAAAACACCAGTCCAGTAAGCCACCTGACCTCGTGGAAACTGCCATCATCTAAGTGGTTTGCTTTCCGTTCAGTATCTGATCATCCTGGGATATGAGGTCTGCACTTTGTGTTCAACACTTGGGAGAAGCCCACGGAACCTGACCAGGGTCAATGAGTTGTTCCCAATGAGCAGCAGCGGAAGGAAAGGGAAGCCTGGCAGGACTGTCTTCTTGACCCAAAATACAGAGCTCTTGCAGCTGGCTGGTCATTATAGCGTCTGTAGCCTGGTCACCAAGGAACAGCTAAACAGCCCTGGCAAATTGTCCATCCTGAGGCAACCCATCCTGAGACCTGAGCTGAATGAAAATCCAACTGAAACCCACAAAGGACCATGGAAATGGGGAAGGGATGAAAACACAAATTTCCGATAATACTGATGGTTACTCTGAGAAGGGAGGGATAATAGCCAAAAATATTAAAATAAGATCACTGTGGAGTAACATGAATACCAGAAAGTGTCACAATTAAATATTGGTTTCTCTGTTGCTGGAAGCACACCCTGGCTGGACCGGAGTCCAATATGTTGCCTCTGGGCAAGAAGGAACTTGATGAAAAAAAATAGAGATTTTTAAAGGGATTGTACACACTCAGCAATACAGAAAAACTCGAGAGAAGGAGTGCCTAACATTGTCCTTGTACAGAAAGAGGGAGGTGTGGGGAACGACTCCTCACTGACGATTCAAACAGATCTGCGACAGTGTAGGCCAGTCCAGGCCTGCATACAGCTGAGCTGAAGATTCTCATGACTGTACACGGTCAGCAGCGTCTCATTCCCCAGGCTGGAAAAACCCGCACCCAGAGCTGGGGTACAGAGTTATGACCAGCATAGGTGTCAGTGGACATATCTGTGTTCATACCACTGCTTTACACTCCAATACTATGAGGAAGCAATCCTGGGCATTGTCCTGTGTTAGGTAAAAACCACACCAAAACAGCAGGACAACCGAGACCAAAGTGATGATAGAACCAGGCTTTTATTTGGGGTTGGTTCCCCGGATTAAGCCATGCATTTCTTGAGTCGTGGCAATGATGGAGCTTAAGTAAGGGTATGTGTTGTCTTCTGATTGGTTGGCTCCATCTAAATGAGTCCAGGATGGCTATTCTCGGCGGGAACTTTTGGCACCACCTCGGGGTTTTCTGCCTGCCCCTGGGCCCAATGTGCTAACAGCGCATACTGAGTAATTGCTATTTAACAATAAAACTGCTGTATACTAAGTGATTGTTCATTGATGAGGCTAGTATTTCAAATAAATATTGCAGATTTAATATGCATCAGCAAAATTTATACATGAAAGCATAGTTAATTTATTTGATCCCATTCACTACAATGGGAAATCTGAACACGGGTAATACGAAAAAGAATTTCCGAAGAACGAACAGCCAGTCTCCGTGACAGTATTATTTCATCATGTGATTGCCTAACACCTTCTGAGATGTGATTTTGCCAGTTTTTTTCAATACATGGGACATTTTCAGTCTCTGTAATGTTCTAAGGTATGTGGGAGTTGGCCTTCCTGTAAAGGTTTCTCCACTTACATTACAGTCATGGGATTTTTTGTCCTTTGTGTGAGTTCTCTGACACTGATGGTACAACTGTCTTATGTTTTCTCTTTTCCGAGTCTCTTCACGCAAGCTGAGGGCCAACTTGTGGCCAAAAAATTTCACACTCACTGAACTGATGAAAATCATGTCATTCTTAACGAACATATAAACTGCTACCCGTACAAACAGCTAGAATGGACATCAAAAATCCATGAATCCCCAAACCTTGTTTTGATGGGAAATATCACTTTTCTGAACACCAAATCTTCGACTCAGCCAAGTGGTTGAAAAGTAAAGCCTGTCTGTCCGAGTTTCATTTTATTCCTATTTTTCCTCCTCTCCAGTTTTCTGATAAAAAGCAAAGAGGGAAAGAAGCCTATAGATGACCTGTACAGTGAGTTCCCCAACCCTAAGTACTCAGGTGTAACCAACCATTCCCCTTTGGTATAATCCACTTGGAAACACAGGGAGAAGGTCACAGGGCACGCCAGCGGAACCTGTGACAGCAACATCTGCTCTTCACCAACAGCTCTTATGCACGCACGTCATCTACATGGCTGTGACTTCGACTTGCAATAAGAGGCTGTTATTTCATTGTGAAGTAAACCAGAAATAAACCAGCAGCTGGAATGTCTGTTAATCCACTTTTCAAAGATCAGGACAGGGCTTCCGCGCAGTGGCCTAGTGGCTCAAGTCACTCAATTTCCCTTTCAAATGTAACAGAAGTGAGGAGCTGACCCTCAGGTGGGCCCCAAGACTTAATGAAGCAGGTTCTTAAAAAAGGGGACTAAAAGCTTTTCAGGACACGTACCGTTTTGGTGATCTCATTCTGAACTTCAGGCAGGTCTGGATGCTTTTCCCCAGTAGTATTGAGAAAAATTTTCTTTAATTTAAACTCGGTCACGAAGGTTCTAACTGAAAACAAAACAATCACCTGTTAGACCAGATGACATGCTGACCTTGTGAGGTTGTGTCAATCCCTGGGGCGTGCTGCACGACTCCCCCTCCCAGGACAATTTCTGTGTAGTTCTTTTTCCTTTCTTTCTTTCTTTGAGATTCCTTTCAGGCAATGCGAGCATCTGCTGAGATGGGCAGCAGGCTTACACCAAGAACCTTTTTAGGTGAGAGATAGCACCATTGCCTTGTGGACGTGCGGGGGCTGCTGAGAGAAGCAGCTTTCAGAGAGCCCTCTGATGGTCTCCCACCTAACAGATGCTCAAAGAAGGAAGATGAGCTGGTCCAGACGACATGAGGTAGGAAAGAGTGGAAGGAACAGACAGCTGTTCATCTGGCCTCAGAGGGCTGCGGTGTGGATGGAGGAGAAAAGCTTGGCTCTCTGACATCTTCAGCCAAGGTAAGCTGCCAACTTCAGGGGGATACCCAGGCTTCCTTTTGTCATTGAAGCCCACTCCAACCTCCTGAATGGAGGAAACGCTCAAAATATCACAGAGGAAAAAAAAACCAACCACACATCCAGAGGTCAGAAAACTTCCCAAGAAAGATCACCCAATCTCCCTCAGGGCCAGAATGGGTGCGTAGAGTCACAGGTGTCCACCTGCTGGGCTCCTTCTGCCACTCTAGCCCCCGTCCTTAGAGGGGTCCTCGGCTAAGGACAGCCAGAGGCCTTCAGAGAAAGAGATCACCTGCTTGAGGTGGGCTGCTCCTCCGCGGAACTGCCAGGCCCCCGAACTCAAAGTCACATAAAGAAGACAACCTGTACTCAAGATGCTTTGGGTTCAGAAAGGAAAGAAGGCAGCCCTATTTCCAGGGCCCATTTCACTCATAAAATAAAATTCTAGTTAACACCAATTTGGACTGATTGGGCCTGAGGGGAATGGGTCTCACAAAAATTAGTACAGCCTGCTTTATATATCTGGCTCTTATCTTTCATTATATTAAATTCTCATCTTTCCCTTTGGACAGAAAAAGAGGAGCCCAAAACACAGAAGCGCATCAAGCCGTGCTCTTGAAGAGCTATGCTGAATGACTGATTTAACACTTTACACCTGCAGTTACATTCATCTTTTTGCTTTAAGTTCAAAGCCAGCTGCTTACTTTTCTGAACAGCAGGGAGCTCTTTTGATTTTTCTATGGGAGAGACTGAAATGATTTTTTTTTTTTTTTGGAAAGAGCTAAAATTATTCCTTGGTATTCAGAACACTTGACTATTTTCATAGCTTTCCAAGGTCTAAATCCTAAGGGCTCACACAGATCTCTAGGGGAACAGCTACAGTAAACACGGCCTCTGCTTTTACCGTGGATGTGAAGATGCACCATTCTCCAAAACTGGTCCACTGATTGTACTTGACTATCAGAGCAATCCTGAGTAGGGAGCAGAGAGATGATAATCTGTTCTTACAGATGGGCCATGTGCCCCAGAGACAGAAGGCAGGCACTGGAGGCCTGGGCACTGGTACTTTCCACAATGGTTCAAAACAAAATCACTTCCAAGTTCTTAAATTCAACAGCACTCAGCTGATAATCTGTTCTTACAGATGGGCCATGTGCCCCAGAGACAGAAGGCAGGCACTGGAGGCCTGAGCACTGGTACTTTCCACAATGGTTCAAAACAAAATCACTTCCAAAAAATCAGAGAAATTCTTGATTTTCTGATGTCTATGTTTCTTGATCCTTCCTATTGAAAACAATGCTTTGAGCTAAACCTTATATTTGAAGTGATTTTCAAAATTCTTTCCTTATTTTAGCAGGGTACCAACTTCCCAAGGACACGGGCATGTGCTTTCTCAATAGTTATTTCAGTAAGACACATCACTGCATCAAGTGTCACACTGACCAATTTAGAGTAACTCAAAGATCAGTTATTTTAATGGCCAGTTTCCTTATCCAGCTTAGAAACTACTTTTCATTTCTAATTTCTTCAACAAGTTTTGTATTAAACTCAGCATACTAATAAGGGTAGATGAAAAAGCTTTTAGGCTTAACATATTATGGTATGACACAAAGAACTGTAAATTGGAAACTAGACCTCCTATCAACCAGTTACATGTATTTGGCCACTTAGCACTTTGTCAAAATTTTCATTTGGCTTTGATTGTTCCCTTTTTAAAATCTGCAAATGGAGATTACATTTTAAGCCAACCAGCTTCATGAATCTAGCAGATCAGGGAATAAACTATGCCAAACTGAGTCCTACAATTACAGCAGTGGCTTTGTCAAAAATCTATCTGGCTTTGAACAAGAACATGAAGATCATTTATAGAAATCAAAAGAATGTGTGAATGTGGTAGAAAATCAAGATTTAATTTTCTCTTCCATACACACACATTTTTTTTGTAGTCATAATACTTCTAAGATATTTTTTCCCTAACTATAGGTGGAATAGCTAAGCAAATAATGCTATGCACAAATAATGGCATTGGATGTTCTATAATATTTTAACAATACAAGGGAAATGTTTAAGACATAAATTTGTACTGGTATGATTTCAGTGACGTATAAATTCAATGCACATAAAAAAACTGCAAAGTGCTGTATCTCTGGTAGAATGACAGGCAATGCCTTTTACTTCCTTCTGCATCACTTCAGTTTTAACTCTGGACAAATGTTGGTTTTGATGAGGGAGAAAAATAGTAAATGTTATTTTGTAAAAGACATTGTAGTACAAAATAAATTTCAACAGAGATGAACTCTCTTACCCAAGTTACATATTCCTTTTTCCAACTGGTACCCAACTGGGCATTTGCAGATATAAGATCCCTGAGTATTGTTGCACGTGGCCAGGGGTGGGCAGGGGTTCAAGAGGCATTCATTCACGTCTGCAGAGGAGAAAAAACAAAACAAAGCCACATGGAAGCCGTGGCAGATGGCAAAACCAGGATCCAGTACTGTTAGCACTAACGGCCAAATGGGGGCAAGTACAGCGGGGGAAGCCCAAGATGACCAAGAGCCCAACACTGTCCTCATCCATGCCAACCATCTATTGAGGGTGATGAGAATGATACAAACAATTTGAGTACATGGCAGGGTTTGGAGAAACTACCATATTTTGATGGAATAAATATTGAAGCTTGTTCCAAATAATATATGGACTAGAAGTATTAGGACTTGGAACGAGGAGGTGTGTGGGTAAGAATTCCAGGCTGAGGCACAGCCCAGCAGAGGTCAAAGGCACAGCAAGGGGGGTTTGTTCAGCATTGCAGGAGGACAGCAAGACTGCAGAATGAACCCAGGTCAGCCAGTTTACCAGATATCTTGCAAATGACACACAAACATGCAAACTCTCAGGTAAGCAGGGTCCTGACTTTAGAATTCTACGCATCAGAGGAAAAAGGAGCTTTCTGAATAATCTGTTCTAATACTGCAGTGCAGCCCACCGAGCAGTCTGTTTTCTCTTACCCACACTGCAGTTATTCCCTTGCCAGGAAGGCAAGCACACACATCGATAGCCACGGCTTGAGGACTCCATGATGCACTTGCCACCATGAAGACAAGGGTTTGGGGCGCACCTGTCGACTAAACAGATATTCCAAGAGAAACACAGTTAATCACAGAGATAATGCCGAGGCAGCTTTCGGTAAACATTTAATTCTCCCAGCTAATATTTCATTTTGCTTATCAATGTGTACTTATCCTGAAGGCCACACTTCTAACATAGTGACAGTTCCCAACAGGCGCCAATGGCAGGTACAGGGGGTCTGGATACTGATACTAGGCTGGACCCATACATAAACATTACACAACTAGATCTCTGAGAATTAGTTCAAACCAAATGCAACATGAAGGTTACAGAGTTCAGGATTAATGATATTATCAACTTTGGGAGAGAATTTTTACTTTGAATCAATGCTAACTTAAAACGCACATTAAGTGCTAAAAGGACTCCTGATAACTTCTTGCTGTTGTGAGATCTGCAATGCCTGTACGAGCACATGCAGGGGGGTGTGTGTGGGCACACAGGCTTGGCCTTTCCTCTTAGACTTCACTGAAACCACAGTGCATGCATTTAATGAACCACAGCAACTCTGAGCTGATCTAGGAACGCTGCTCCTAAACTGCCTCACTTCAGGTTCTCCTGCCCTCATCACAGTCTGCTTCTGACCTCAATAAAGTCAAAGTATTAAAAGCTATACTGTGGCTTGAGAATGATTTGGCTCCCAAACTCACTCAGCTATTTCAATGCTCAAGCTGTCGGTTAATGGTACAAAAAGGGTGGAGACTGAATCCAGTCACGGTGTTTAGGAGGTGGGCCAGGCTGTGGAGGGGTGTCTTCAGGTTATCAAAGGTGTCTTCAACAGGTAATTCTCACCATAGTGTTTTTGTAAAAGCCCGCGTTGCTCCCAGCCACTCTGTTTCCTGGCTTGCCCCATTGATCCTTCCTCTTAAATGCTTTGCCAATGCCACCAGCCACTTTTACTAGAACCCTAACCAAGAAGCCCACCCGTTCTCACAATAAACTTCCAAAACTCAATAAACCTTCTCTTCCTAACTAGCTTATCCTGGATGTGTTGTAGTGACAAAAAAAAAAAAAAAAAAAAAACCCAACTACGGGCTAAGAGAAGGCACAACTGCTATATGTACTGACATCACATCAGCCAGTGTTTTTCTACTGTCTTCAGCAAGGGTTATTTAACTTGAGGATAAAAATACATGAGTCCCACTTTGGTCCTCTTTTATGCATTAACAGGAAATATTTAAAACAGACAGGATGCTAGATACTATTTCTACACATTCACGCAAATCCCAAGCCCAAGGCAGTGTGTGCTTGTAAGATGCATTTTCACCTGAGGCTGGAGAGGATACTATCGGTGGTGACTGAGTGCTGCTCTCAACAACAGAGGTGAAAGGTTTAGGGGCCAATGTTTCAGCTGTAGAGGTATCTGTAGTTTGGGGAGTAGATGTTTTGAAGAATTGTGATGCTGTGTTCTCTTCCATCACACCAAGGCTCGTGGTCAACTCTTGTGCTGATGTAGGTGCACTGGTCAGAGGGGTCCACTGGGTGGTAGCATCGACATGCACCTGGTTTCTTTTCGTGGTGGTGGCACCTTCTGTTGGAATACGTGGCCCCAGCATTTCAGGATGGGTTGGGGAGAGCTGTTTTCCAGCTGTTGTCTGTGCAGCCACAGGGCCAGTCATCAGAACTGCTGTGCTAGGCAGCATACTGGAGGCGGGAGCATGAGAGGTCCCAAGAGCAGCAGTTGTCAAATCTGGAGATGTCTGAGCCATGACTGTGCTTGTGGCTGGAACGGTTGGCTTGGTGGGGGACTCTGGTAAGGCTGTAGGCAAAGGGGACCCTGAAGGAGAACCTATTTTCACAGTTTTGGTGGGCTCGGTGGGCAGAGGCACAAGGCTTGGTGATTTTGGTTGTGTGCTGATATGCTCTTGGTATGGGATACTCTGGTTTCCAGGGTCTGCTGTTTGACTACTGTAGAGCACAGCCATGGATGATGTCCCTGTGGATGTCTGAACTGAGGCCACAGATGTCTCCCTGACCCTGGGAAGGACTGGGGTGGAAGGTGAATATGGTAAGGCTGTTTGTGAGACAGAAAGTGGGGCAAGGCTAGATGCCATGAGGGATACTGACGAAGGTGATGGGGAAGGAGAGAGGGGGCCAGATGCCTCCGAAGTGGACCTCAGTGGGTACACCGAGGCCCCTGTTGATGGTACAGTTGGTAAGAACATCTGATGGGACTGTGACACTGAGGGTGGAGACAGAGGGAGCCCTGCAGAGGAAGAAGAGGAATCACTAACAGACTGAGCATTGGTATCCAGAAAAAACAAAGTGTTCGGCACACTCAAGGTGGATGTGTAAGACGGAAGGTCAGATGTACGCAGAACCAGGGACTCAGTGGAATGCCGAGCGTACTCCCCATGATAGGATGAGATGATATTTCTTCCAGTCTGAGCATGAGAAGGGGAAGGATAGTCTACATGTGATGAGTTGGAGATCTTGGTGTAAGAGGTCGAGCTTTCCTGGACGTCCGAGGATGAACCCTGATCTGTAATGGACAGTAATGTCCGCTCTCCTTTGGTGAATGTCGAGGAAACGTAGGTGTGGTCACTGGAAGTCCTTTGTTCACTATCTGTGCCACCTGCTTGACTGTAGCTCAACCCAGTGACTGCAATGGGAGAAGCCAAAGTTAAGTCAGATTAACAACAAAAACTCTCCAACACACACACACACACACACACGCACACACAGTACAAATCAGACTACCAGGTTCTAGTTAGGAACTCGGTGAGCAAAGTAACTCTCTTTGAGGAGGTGATTTTCAATGGTGAGTGCTCTCAACAGGGGCATAATGGGAAGGCATTTGTGTCCGCTCTGAGAAGATGCATCTTGAGAGTCGGTGACAGTAGCAATGGAAGTGATAATAAAAGCAAGTGGGGACCAGGGGTCTAAAAATGAGAAATAGGTTTCAAAAGCCTGCCACATGCCTTTTTAAAAATTAAAAGCTAACTGGTATCTAAGAAGCTCTCAAAATTAATACAGTGTTATGCTCGAATGGAAAAAGAAAAGCCCTCCCAGCTGTCCACTTCGTATAATGAGCTAGCTCTTTCTCATGAGATTGGCCTTGGCCACAAAATAGCTGTTCCCGTACAGGGTGCTCACCATCCCTAACTTGCCTTAGGAAATGTCAGTGAGGAAGACTCTGCATGGAGGTTCAGTCCCCTGAGCTACAAGAAGCCAGAAAGTTCTCTTCCTAAATAACTCATCAGGCAGCTTCTGATTGATGGTCAAATCAATCACCTCAGGACTGTGAGTAATCTCATACTCTGAGATACCATGAGCATGGATGCCTGCTGAAGGAAACCCACGCACAACACCCTGAGAGCAGGCCTGTGTCTGCAGTCCCCTGCGTGGGGGAAGCCATACCCTGGGGAGCCCCAGGCGTACAGCAAGCCCAGAGCAGGCTGGGACTGCTGCGGACATGTCCTTCCAAAGAGAGTACCAGAACTGTTGCCCATGTCAGCGCCGGGGACCAGGGCTGAAAGGAGAGCGGAAAGGAGCCCCATTCTGTTGCAGGTGCCTGCTTTCCTAGGCTGCTCGGGAGCTTCATTCTAAGAAACCTCAGGAGGAAGTGCAGATGGGCACCTCTGTTCAGGGGACCTGGACTTATGGAGAAGTTTATTACTTCAGCAAACAGGATCAATACTGTATTTCTGCCAGGGGAGCACATAATAAATAGCGTTTCTGTCAGGGAAATTGCTAGTGGGAGCATGGAAGACAAGTGGTAAGTCAAAGACTAACAACCTATTATGACCAAGGCCATAGGTGGGAGAGGTAGGGGGTGCCTCTCTCCCAGACCCCCCAAACGTAACCTTCCAAGGGGAGGAGCAGGGGAGAACTGCCTATCATTGTATAGAGTTGAATGTGTGGGCTAAGGCCAAAGATGGGCTTGGGTTTTCCCAACTCATGTGCAATATTGATGGGATGACATTGAGGAGGTGGCACGTGAATCAATATCCTTTTCCTCTTTGGATAGAACATAAGTTTTAAAAAAAAAAAGATTTACTTATTTTTATTACAAAGTCAGATATACTGAGAGGAGGAGGAGAGAGAAAGATTTCCTTCTGTTCATTCACTCCCCAAGTGGCCGCAAAGGTCAGAGCTGAGCTCTGATCCAAAGCTAGGAGCCTGGAGCCTCTTCTGGGTCTCCCACATGGGTGCAGGGTTCCCAGGCTTTGGGCCAATTGCTTTCCCAGGCCATAAACAGGAAGCTGGATGGGAAGTGGGGTTGCCGGGATACAAACCAGCACCCATATGGGATCCTGGAATGTGCAAGGCAAGGACTTTAGCTGGTAGGCTACCATGCCAGGCTCTGGAACCTTAGTTTTATGCTAAAAACATGGAGAATCTTAGAACTGCCATACCATAGTAGATTACCAAATAAACTCTTCAGAAATTAGGAAAGTGTAGTCTAATTCTTCTTGGCCTACATACTCCACAGTCTGTGAGAAAACACACAGGCTCTTTCCCCAATTCTTATTTCCATTCCCAGCCCAGACTAGCACTTGACAGCACCCAGACAGTCTTGGATGGGAACCAGTGTAAAGTGTTAGCTAAATGCATTTTTCTAGAGGTTTGAATGAACTCAGAGACAAAAAAGAGCACAGGGACAGGATACCCAGTGATGGAAGGAAGTACCAAGAGAGATGTGGCACTGAGCCAGCCCGAAGGGCTCAGACAAAGACGCCAAGCCAACCAGAAGAGTTTCAGGAGTAGAGTATGCTTGAGCCCAAGTTCTCAGGGCAAAGAAGAATGCCTTGAATGGAGATCTGAAATGTTGTGTCAAATGAGATTCAGGCAAACTGTTACATCGGGGCTCAGCTTAACCAAGTGGAAAATCATGATCCACACCAAGGGGCTAAATCTGAACTCAGGGGAAAAACGCCAAACAGGGACTCTGAAAACCTGGTTGCTCCGTCAGGTTGGCATGACTCGGAGGAAACAGGATCAAGTGTTGCATAAACCCCCAATGAGATGATTTCAGGATAAGACCATTCCTGACCTAGCTCTGCATACTTGAGCCTGTCACACTGAAATCACATTTTCCACATGACCCAACTGAGCATGACGAGCAGACAGGAAAGGTAAAGAAAAGATACGCAGGAGAAAGACTTCAGAACCTAAGAGCCTGGCTAAAGAAGGAAAAAAGAAATCCTTACAAGGCTGAGAGTAAAAAGCAGTTGCTTTGTTTAGGAAACTGACCATGTGTTTCCCATGCACAGACATAAATATCCTCTACTCCTACGTGTGACCAGCGGCATTTGCTTTTTCATCTGAGCAGCAATAAATACTGTCTTTATCGGTTAGGATTCTTGTATGGGGGAGATGGAACTGCTGCTATTAGTGATGGAGAGATAAGAACCAAAACCTGTTAAGAGCCAGCACATCCTTTGTATTGATGTGCCTGCTGAGAATTGTTTTTGAAAAAAAAAAAATCAACCAAAAGCTTTAGAATCAGTATAAGAAGTTTTGTCAAGATCACAAACTTATACTTGATCAAATTTTTAAGCCTTTGTGGCATAAATGATACCATTAAGAAAGTGAAAAGGCAGGAGCTGCTGCAGCGGCTCAACAGGCTAATCCTCCGTCTGCTACTGTTGGCATCCCCAAATGGTTGCTGGTGTTGAGTCCCGGCTGCTCCACTTCTGACAGTTGCCTGCTCTCGGCCTGGGAAAGCAGTGGAAGATGGCTCAAGTCCTTGGGACCCTGCACCCACGTGGGAAAGCTTGAAGAAGCTCCTGGCTCCTGGCTTCAGATCAGCTCAGCTCTGGGTATTGCAGCCACTTGGGGAGTGAACCAGCAGACTGAAGATCTCCTATCTCTCCTTTTCTCTACAAAAATAATCTGCCTTTCAAATAATAAATAAATAAATGTTAAAAAAATACAGCATTAAGTAAAAAGATAATCCACATAATAGAAGAAAATATCTGCAAATTATGTATCTGATAAAGGACTAACATCCAGGAAAAAAAAACGTAAAACTTAATAACTAAATTTTAAGATACTCTATTGGTTGAACAGACACTTTCTAGAAATGACAATGAAAAGATGCGGAACATCCAACTAACATGATTCATCACCTGAGAATTTCAAGTTAAAAAATAAAACCACAACGAGATCCCTTTATGCTCACCAGGATGGCTAGAGTAAAAAAGATGAATAGTAGGTGGCAGTGACGGCGTGGACTCTGTGGAACATTTATGCATTGCTAATGGGAATATAAAATGTTGCAGTCACTTTGGAAAAGAGTTCAGCAAGCCCTCAAAAATTCCTTAACAGTAGAACTACCATTTGACCTGTGAATTCCAAGAGTACTGAAGATATATGTCTGTTTAAAAATTTATATCTAATTGTTCACAATCATATTCATATCAGTCAAAAAGCATAAATTCACCAAAAAAGCTAGGAACAATTCAGTTGATTACAGAATAAATGAAATTGAATAAATCCACACCACAGAATATTACTCAGATACATATAAAGGAATGAAGTATTCATGCATCTCTTCATTGTCGAGTCAGCAACATGACGGTTCAGCTAGCTAATCCTCAGCCTACAAGCACTAGCATCCACACAGGCACCGGTTCGTGTCCTGGCTGCTCCACTTCTCATTCAGCTCCCTGCTTACGGTTTGGGAAAGCAGTGGAGGTTGGTCCAAAGCTCTGGGATTCTGCACCTGCAAAGGAGGCCAAGAGGGGGTTCCTGGCTTTGGATCCATTCAGCTCTGGTCATTGAAGCCATTTGGGGAATGAAGCAGCAAATGAAATATCTTTCTTTCTGTCTTTCCTCTCTGTAATATGCCTTTCCAATAAAAAAAATCAAAAAAAGCTTTAAAAAACATGCTAATAAAAGATACATTAAGGTCACATTGAGGCTGGCACTGTGGCATAGCAGGTCAAGCCAAGTCGTGGTTCAATTCCTGGTTGTAGTACTTCTGATTCAGCTCTCTGAAAATATGCCTAGGAAAGCAGTGAAAGACTGCCTGAGTACCAGGGCCCCTGCACACATTTTGGAGACCTGGAAGAAGTTCCTAACTACTACTTTCCATTTGGCTCAGTTCTGGTTGTTTCAGTCATTTAGGGAGTGACCCAGTAGATGGAAGAGCTCGCTCTGTAACTCTAAAAATAAACACACATAAATCTGAAAAAACAAACGAACAAAAAAACCCACGTTACAGGACTCAATTTACACCAAATGTGTAAGATGGGCAAACCCACAGACACCAGAAATAAACTAAGAGGTTGCCGGGGTTAACAGTGGGCAGAATGTCAAGCAACTCTTGACGAATATGGTGCTGATTTTCAGGTGATGAACATATTCTGGAATTAGCCAGAAGGGACAGTCGTACAACTCTAACTATTGTACAACGCTTGTGACTTCTGTAACAACAACCGTACAATTTAAGTAAGCAAATTACATGGAATATTAACTATATCTCAAAAACCTTAAAGGGTTTATTTCTTTTGATATATATGCCCAGACCTAGAATGAACAACCACAGATGAGGTGGTATCATCCTGAAGTTCTGGGATTTGGGGCGAGTGACAGGGAACGGAGGATGTTGAGTTCTGTGTGGGAAGAGAAGGTAACAACACCAGAAGAAAAAGAAAAACAGAGGACATACAAGCAGACTGAAACCAAGCAGCTGGACAGATGGCCTGCGAATAAGGAAACAAGGGCTTGGGATGTTATTTCACGCGTGGACGGCCTTACTACGCCACAGAAGAGCATCAGAGCCCCCTCCTCTGCAGGCAGAATCCTGTGCAATGAGAACTCACTCGAGCGTTCACCACGCGCTGCTGAGGAGTCCAGGCTTTCTGTGGAAGATGTAGACAAAGACTCTGAGAATCTTTTTTCCCCCAGTACTGTGCTACTTCCTCCGGACCGTGCAGTGGAGTCCAAAAACTGGGTCAAAACCGAAGCGTTCCTGATTTCAGGATAGGAAGCCGACCTTCCGGCCGCATCTGCAGATGTCTTGCTGCTGGTCAAGAACCAGTGCGCTGTGCTGACTCCACCGCTGATGGAGGGGACTGACCTAGACACAGTCTCTGTCTGAGATGTGGAGCTTCCATTTGTGACCTCGGGGCTGCTGGCAGGTCGCTGCCCTCCAAATGCTATAAGGGATACAGGGGGGAAGAGCCAGTGATATGGGTATGAAAGAGCTCTCTCAACAATTAAGAAGCAAGTCCTCACTGAGGGCCGATTCCTCGGTCCAAGATCCTTGTGTTTATTACAGGGAAGCCTGACCTGTGCTCTAAGTAATTATTTCAGAACCCTTTTCTGTCAGAAAGATAGTAATTCTAAAAATAAAAACTTGTGAACAGGGGCACTTTAGAATGGCAAGTGCATGGAGCACAGTAACCCATCGCCGTGAGGGTTTTTTTCTTTATCATAATAAGTGATCACGGAAATAGTGTGCCATGTCTGCCCAAGATGATGTGCTTAAATACACAGCCAAATTAGAGTACCTTTCCAAAACAGTTCTAATAGTAACAAAAGTTACTCTCATTCCAAAGTATAGCAAAGAAAAAAAAAAGGCAATCTAACCATGAATTTTCAACTATATTATCTATCTGCATAATTATTTGCAAATGATTTCTATGCAAAATAACAGAAGTTTGAATTTTTAGCAAGCAGGCCAGCTCTCATGTCAACAAAATGCTATAAAGGGAAAAGAAGATGGATTCCACCTGGAGAACCCTGGGGTCTCATCTCTGCTGAGAGCTGAAGGGAGTGCACACGTTACTTAAACCCTCTGAGACTTGGGGTCCTCATCTCTGTAAAAGCAGGAGTGACACCTGTCGGATTAGCTTCACAACGTTCCCCTAAGAATGAAAATCAAAATGCAGCCCTGCGCTCATCCATATAAAGGAACTGGTGTCACCAAAGAAGGAATCCACTTTCCTTTGGAGACTGCAAAGGATCCTGAAGAGATCTCAGAAAAAGCAACTAGTCAGAAATGTTCTGCAAAAATCAAGAAAGGCGGAATGCTTACTCGGGGAATCACTCTGCCAGTATAAAGACGTGTGTCCAAATTCACCCTCTGTTGATGGCTCAGTGAATTCTCCGCCTCCCGGACTCCTGCTTAGGCTGCTGTTTCTTCTCGACTCCTCCACAGAAGGTGAAGTTGAACTCGTGGCAGTTTTAGAGTCTTCAGAGAAACTTTCTGTCTCATTGGCAGGCTGCAGACTGACAGTTAAAGACCGGAGCATCCTCGGGACGCCGTCGGTGAACGTGGCGGCAGCGGCATGCATTCGCTTAGTCTCACTGACCACGGGGCTCTCGGCAGCAGAGGAGTGGCTAAGCTCCTTCACACTTCCAGAAACTGAAACAGCAAGAATATGTACTTCAAAACTACTCGTAGGCATAAGAAAACTGACAGAGGGCCTAGGGAGAAGTTATCCTTATGACACTGTGTTAGAGAAATACAAAATTTATGGACCAAACAGATGCATTTGTGGTGTACCAGGGTGCTACAAAAAGTGGAATTAAAAGGTTGGTTTCCTTTGGTACAAAAATCATGAAATTCACACAAAATTTCTTCATAATACGCATTTTGCACACACTCCCTCACACTCACTAGCTCTACTTCTCACAGGGCTGAATGAAGACACAGGGAAGACAATGAAAAGCAAATCAAAAGGGAGAAAACAAGACCAATACAAAAAGACAGAAAAGGAAAACTTCTGAATTTCACATTACAGCTTAAAGAGGGCAAGTCATTGTGATAAGGTGTTTGTCATTCTGTGTTGTAGCATTGCCACCAACTTATTCTGATGCCACAGATTAAAATCCTACACAAAAAACAAACGACCCTGAGTGCATTGTAGAGTGCCCAGCCCGTGGCCTGCAGAGCGTGAGTGGGGCACTACTGGGCTGTGACAACTGTAGCCTTGTCATCATCAATTTATTATTTCTTACCTCAGGTCCACTAAAAACCATGTGCTTTGAAAGGCTTTTAACCAAACTGCAATTCATTAAGTAACGTAGCTTATAACCAGCAGGAGATATTAATTATTATCCCATGAATTTGATTTAATTTCATTGAAAACCAAACAGGCTTCATGACTGTGACTTGGCCTCATGAAGCCTCAAAGATCAGCTCTCAGACCTACAAGGGACTCCAGCAGGCCTCTTGGAGGTGAAAGACTCCAGGTTGGCAACAATTTTCCTTTTTTCTGATCAATGGATGGCAGCCATAGGACAGCTGTCAAGAACACTGAGGATTAAATTCTACACCATCGGTCAAGAGGAATGCTCTGATTTGCACAAGTATGGAGATGTGGCTGATGTCTCCATTTCACAAACAAGTTTCCAAAGGGATACCCTGAGAAGTGACCTTTAAGCAGGGTAGAATAAAATCCTCACTCCAACCAGGAATAAACAGAATGCTCAGTGAGCAGGTTAGAAACAAAGGTGAGAAAAGAGTGCTACCCACCCACAGGCGCATCCAAGAATTGGGTGTGGGGCAGACCGGGCTGCAACATCCACCAACACACACAAAGGCCAAGACTGGGGTGGGGCAGACTGTGCTGGGTAAGGGCTAGCACCCACTGGCCTGTGTGAGATCTGGGTCTGGGAGTGGGCCTGGTGGGGAAACTTGCAAATTCCCCTGGTGGGCCATTGCTCCCACTGACGAGTACTTGAGTGTGTCAGTCTGAACAGGGCCGCTTCACTTGTCGGTAGGTGTGTGGGTTGGCTCTGCAGGGAGTGGGGGTCAGGGAGCTGACTAGACAGAGCGAGGCCAAACTTTAGCACACTGGCATGCACAGGAGCCAGGATGGAGTGTGTCATGCCAGTCTAAGCTAGACTATCACATCTACTGGTTTGCATGAAAGCCAAGGATAGGGACAGGCTGGGCAGGGTTACAGAACTTACCCACCAGAGTTGGGATTAGGGGTAGGCCAAGCCATAGCATTTGGTGGCAAAGCTCAAGTTGGGTAATGGGTTATGCCAAACTGGTTAGAAGCAATCACTAACATGTGCAAGATCTGTGGCTGGGAGTGACCCTAATAGTAAGAGCCAGAATAGGTGTGGGCTGGTCAGGCAAGGCCACTGTACCTGCCAGGACAGGAGGTGGGTCAAGTCAGACTGGGCCAAGGACCCACTAGTGTGTGTGAGATTTGCCACTGGGAGGTGACCTGATAGAGAAGCTTGGGGAACTCCTTTGTCAGGATGCAGTCCCTGCAGGTGAGTGCAAGAACCAAGGCTGGGAGCAGTCCACACCAAGCCAGGTTACAATACCTGCTGGCATACATGTGGGTCCGGTCTAGGGGTGGGCCAGAGTGAGCCAATTCATACCACTCACTGGGCAGATATGAGAAACAGGACAGGGTGTAAGACAGGCCAGGTTGGGTACAATACCACCCAGTTTACATTTGGCTGGGACAGGGGGCAGTTCAGGATAGGCCAGGCTGGGCTAGGCTGCAGCACCCACTAGCATGAGCTGGAACTGGGGGCAGGCCAAACCGAGCCATACTGCAGCATCCACTGGTGAATGCTGAGGTAAGGCAAGCCATGTCAGTCTCGGGTGCAGCTCGCAGGTCCCACCAGCAGGGGAGCTGCCGGGGCTCCCTTTAAGGGCAGAATCACAAAGCCCTTTGACCTGCATGTGAGGCATGTGAGGTGCGTTATGGGGAGAGCCAGGTTGTGCTAAATGACTGTATCTATAAGTGCACACATGAGCCAGAGAAAAGGCAGGTTGGTTGGGCTTTGCTGCAGCATTAGCTAGCAAATGCTGGGACTGAGGGCAAGTCCTGTCAGACTAGATAGAACAACCATCTGGAAAGTATAAGACCTGGGGCTCAGAATGGGCCTAGTAGGAAAAATGGGCATCCCTCTGATGGACTTCAGCCCCAGTAAAAATGAAAGCCAGGGCTGGGGAAAGCCTGGCTGGACAGGCAGTGGCACCCGCCGACATGAGGATGAGCTGGATGGTGGGGCTGAGTTAGGCTGAGCTAGGCTCCAACACCCATTGATGTGTGTAAGAGCTGAATGGGATGTGGGACAGACCACACCAGTCTGCTGCATGTACTGGCATGAGCAGGAACTGGGGTTGGGGGCAGGCCAGGTGAGGGGTCCTGGGGGTTGCTCTGACTAGGCTGCAGTTCCCATTGCTGTGTGGGAGGGTCAAGTGTGTGGTGGGCGGGGTTAGGCTGGGCTGCAACATCCATTGGTTTGTACATGAGATGGGGCTGGGGACAGAACTGACCAGGTGACTGACGAGTGTGTGTGTGTAGGCTGATATGGGTGATAGACTGAGCTGGGCCATGCACTGGCTGGCAGACATAGGAGTCACATTAGAATCACTTCTGGCAAGGTGATCCCCCCAAACTGGATCGCTAGACTCCAAACTCCAACCACAGGGGGGAAAAAATAAACCACAGGATCTGTGGACTCCCCCGTTGCTCAAGTTTGTGTGATGGACAGATGTTCATGCCGGACATGACAACCAGTTGATTGAGGCCTGCAGAGGACATCTAGTACCATGAAGGGCAGAACAAATTGGACAGCTCTCCCAGTCGAGTTTTGACAGCGAGTACCTGAGAGAACCAAGATTTTAAGGCGGACTATGTCAGTAAGTGGACCTTGGAAGGATTTCCTTAACCTTGGAGCAGTGAAATCAACAGCATGTCGGAACTATCAAAACCACTCTAGCAGTATGCAACACACTCCACACTGGGACTCGGGGATGATGTCGGGCAGCTGAGCTGCTAGGAGCGGCACTCTCCTCTCCCCACTTTTCCCAGATGCAGGAAGAAAAAAGGAGACTGGAGGCAGTTGTCTTCTTATCTACTTTTCCCCCGTTCTTCAATCCCCCTACCCTAATCTGTGGTCCCCTTGAGAATGTATCCCGCTCAACTACACAAACATCATCAAAAATAAGATGAGTTTGTTATTTTTTAAAAAAGTGCTACTTTTTCCCTTAAGTTATAAACACTACAAAGTATTTTACAGCTACATAATGAAAAGATTCAAGCTATCAATTATGACCCAGAAAAGGGAAAAGAGAAGTTGTTATTATAAACAGTTCCTGGAAGACCAATCCTATGTGCATCTCTGACCAGAAGCAAAGCTAAAATTTAGATAAGTAGTGAGAAAGAGCAAGCATACGGGAAATAAAGAGTTCTTATACAAGGTCATGGAACTTGAACACAGCCTGCAGAATCTGGTCCCAGGATCTTAATGACAATAAAATAAACATAAATGAATAAAGAAAATAAAATAAAGAAGGTAATCAATAAAGCTATAGATTAAAACAAAGGAATAGACATAGAAATAGAATCCTAACATGTCCCAATCCACCCCCTTTAAAAAACAAATCAAAAACACCTGAGTCTGAGTAAAGCAAAGCAAGGGCAGGACGCTATAGAGGAAGGGGTGCCTCTCCTTCCATACCAGAGTGCCTGGGATTGAGTCCTGCACCTGTTCCAGAACCAGCTTCTTGCTAAGGCACAGGCATGAGCAGGAACGGGGGCTGGAATGATAACTTCTGTGCTTTGGCTGCTGCCTCCCAGATGGGAGACCTAGATTCAGTTTCTGGCTTCAGACTGGCTCAGCCCCAGAAGTTGCAGGATTTGGGGGAGTAAGTTAATATACAGGAGATCTCTCTCTTGTTCCTACTCTTTCAAATAAGAAGGTAAACTTACCAAAAAAAAGTGGCCATAGGAAACTGGAATAAACAGAAGTTTTTTTGTTTTTTGCTTTTTTAAAATGAAAGGATTATACAGAGAGCTCTCGAACCCTCACTGAATCACTTAGCTTCTCAGGCCTATTTTATTAGAGCTGTCATTTGCATCCACCAAATCACAGTCTCACAGATGGCTGGATGCTCTTCCAAAAACACTTCCATTTCCAGTAAACTGTATGGTTTCGACTATTCAATGTTCCCTTAAAAACAGACACAATTATCCTGGATTTAGAATTGAATAACCCAGGCCTGTCCACTTACAGAGGTTTTGGCAAACCCATGGTCGTAGGAACACAATCACAAAAGTTACAAATGCTGCAAGTCAGGAAAGGAAAGGGGCTCTGTTTCCCCTGACCCGGAGGATTCGGCAGGACCATGCTTCCTCATCTCACTAACCATCGTTAGAAAACACCAGTTACTGACCAAGGACTAGGTGCCAGGCAGGACTTTAGAGACACAAACCAGTCTCATTTAATTCTCATTGGGAAGCTAGGAAATAGATGCAAATACTTCTTTGACGTTAGTGCCTCTTAATAAAGGAAGAAATGTTAGGTTAAATAAACCTGCAATCACCACTTACATCACTGAAGGAGCACCTGTTAAACCAAGGAGGCATTTATCATGTACCTAATTCACAGGGCAGCATTATGGATGATTGAATAATAATGCTTCCTTGTATCTTTCTACCCCTGAGGCACACAATTAAAAAAAAAACAGGGGAAGACCACCCATCCGGGAGCAGAAACAAGTGAAGGGCCTGCTCAAGGATCAGTCACTCCAGTCCCAGCTCAAAGTGCAGGAACCACCCTCAGGCAAGTACAGAATGCTCAGCCTTGACTTACCTGCCATCCAGAACTTGATGGCAAGCAGAGCTGAGGCAGCTGATATTCGAGAAGGATAGACTAAACCCACAATCTGAGTTATTTATGGTCTCTCCCTTGACAAAGTAAAAATCACCACAAAGCAATTTACCTGGACCACCTTAGCTCGGCCACCCACAGAAATACTTTCCTAACTTCAGATCCTTTATTAGACTCTCAGCTCCTATGGAGAATCCATATAAAAACATTTCTTTTTAAAAAAACATTATCGCCCATTGACACAAACAGGGATTAAAGGTATTTTCCATTATGATCCTCGACATTCTTTATGTAACTGTTCTTACTTAACTGCCCTAAAAACACTTGTGTCTATGGATAAAGCTGTACGTTTACCTTATCTAGCAATCATCGCATACCCCATCCGGTTTCTCTTTGTGCCCTGGTTTCCAGGAAGCTCAGTACTAAATTTAGTGCTCAATTGCCGCCACTCTCATACAATTCAGTGTTCACATCTTTCTTTCCGCTCTGAAAAGAGAGCCCTTTTTCCCATTTGTTGCTCTGTCGACTCCACCCACTCCCAGTTTCAGGATCAAATACTACATACATGATCATTAGAGAAAATATGGAAACCACAGAATGATGTAAAGCAGCCAGAAAAACAATCTCAAATGGATTCTGATCTTTTTAAAACTTGATTATTGGGAGTGTATATTTGGCTTAATGGTTAGGATGCCAACTGGAAAGCTTGCATCTTATCAGAGTGCCCAAGTTCAACACCTAGCTTCCACTCCCGACTCCAGCTTTTATGGTTTCAGCTCCTGAGAGGCAGCAGTGATGGCTACCGTGATTGGTCTCTCAGACCTGGAATAGATGCCTGGCTCTTGGCAAAGGCCCAGCCCTAGCTGCTGAGGATACCTCGGGAATGAACTGGAAGATGGGAGCTCTCTCTGCCTCTCCCTCTCAAATCAAATACAAAGAAAACAATATCATAAAATGCACACTTTCCTTTTGTAAGCACAGAGCTTCTGGCTATCCCAGCCTTGAGACAGGTTGTCTTGCACAGTGTTTCTGTGTAAGTAGAGTGAGACATGAAAGGAGGAAGAGAATAAAGAGGCTGAATGTGTGTCAAGTAACAAATGTTGGAACTAGAAAGAACCTTTCAGATCACCTGGTCCAATTCATTCAGATTTCAAACAAGGAGTCACATCCTCCCCTGGCCAGGCTCCTGGAGCAGCATCACTGACTGGTCTCAGTGCCAGGCTTCTTGCTGGTCACACATGCCAGCGGGTGGAGTAGCCAAGCATCAAAGGTGCAGGCATCAATGCCCTCGCTCTTCACTTGTGTCTGCAGAGCTGGCCAGGCATACAGGGCCAACTCTGGATCTGCCCTTGGCTGGTCCTGCTGGCTCTTTCTCAGCACTCCGGCCTGATTGCATACAGCTCCTGCTTCATGTCATCACAAAGGGATAACAGAAACCCCAACATTTCCATTCAAAGGGACACTAGAGGCATTTTGAGCTCTGTTGAGTTAGCAGGTGCTAAGCCACCTTCCAAAGTAAAGCAGGATTTTGTTTCTCATTTGGCCCTAAGCCCTCATACATGTGTTCTCAACATTCCCGAGGGAGGAAGCAAGGCTGGAAGGCTGGATTCAGACACACTTAGATGCCTGGGGTTGCATGCATTTAGTAATATCCAATATGCAAGCGTGGAATAGGACCTTATCTAGGACAATACCCAGTTCACTAACAAGAGAAATGCTTGGTGAAACTCCCCAAACATTCAAAGTATAAGGTTCTAAAAAAGGAAAACAGCTCAAATAATTTGAGGACCAAATACTATTTTTAGTTTTTGAAAAGTGACTATAGTCAAAAAGTTGGACACATAGACTGACTTTCAAATGCCTCACGGATGTGGGCTGATGTAAATGATAAATATTATATGACTCTGGGCAGAATCAAAGCATAGCCTCATAGAAAATTCTTCCTTTCCACTATTTAGTAAAGCTGATTATAAAACACCAAGCTCCGATTTCTGAGGGCTGGCAAAGTTCATAACTTTTATACAGTTCAACCAATGTTTATCAATAATCTTAAAAGGCAGTCTCCTAAACACAAGAATCAGAAGACCCCATCCCCCAAACTACACAGTGTACACAGAAGAACTGCTGGTTTGAACAGGCCCTTACACAAAGGGGCTCCAGGCACAACCTTCACCTTGATGACCTGAACCTAAACTCCTAGTCTTACGGAGTATTTCTAAAAGTCCCTGGCCTATAAATAGCAACTGCTGCAGCAACCTGGTCTCTATTTCCCAAGACTGTTTCTGACCACCCTGCTCCCTATGGCTTGAGGATAAAAACACACACAGCACACATGGACAGCAGGAACAAACTCACGAAAGGTGTCTAGACTGTCCAACCTCTTCTTTGGCTCATGGTAGGTTGTGTCTTATAAAGGAATTTGGGCACATGTTGGTCTCCGCTTCTTTTGTTTTTCAAAAGATTTTATTTATTTCAAATATGAGTTACAGTAAGAGTAGGAGAGACCAGAGAAAGAGACTCTTTCACAATTAGTTTACTTTCCAGCTGGCCGCAACAGCCAAGACTGAGGCAGGTCAAAGTCAAGGAGCCTGGAGCTCTTCTGGGTCTCCCACATGGGTGCAGAGGTCCAGGCACTTAGACCATCTTCTGCTGCTTATTCAGGAGCATCTGTAGAGAGCTGGATCGGAAGGGGAGCAGCCAGACTCAAACAGCACCCATGTGGGATGCCGGCATCACAGGAAACAACGACCTGCGATGCCATGGCAAGGGTCGCTGGTCTCTGTTTCTGGTCAACTTTGTTCCAAGGCAGTAGGGAGCCTAACAAAAGTCTTACGCACAGCCTGTTCTGAAGTTTACAGACAGTGAGTGGGTGGCCAGGTATGACAAGGGATACAACACTGAGGACGCAGAGGTTAAAGAAAAGCTCACAGAAATGGAATACTTGAGCAGAAACAAAACTGATCCAGCAGGAACTGGAAGGGAAGAGGAGGCTCCACTGCGTCACTACGTCACGCCTCACACACAGCTGCACTTGGACTTTTTTTTTAATTTTAAACTAGCACCTGGAAAAAATTATACCTATATTTTCTTTGCCACAAAAGGAAACATTTTTATAATAACAAATTAATAAGAATGTAACTCCTAATCAAATGGCACAGTGCTCATAATTTCATGCGCCCTAGCATGTGGCTCAGCAATACTGAGTCTTTATTGTGTGAACAGGGAGGGGGAAGGAAAGGAGAGGGAGGGGGGAAATGGAGAGAGAGAGAGGCAGGAGGTGATGAGCAGAAAGGTCTTGAATAGCTATCAGACCCACTATTACTTTCCCCCTTAAACAGGCAAAAAAAAAAAAAAACCCCACAAATCTTCAATGTGAATTTCTTGGTTTTTAAGATGGTTTGAAAGGCAGAGTTACAAAGAGAGGAGAGACAGAAAGATCTTCCACCTGCCAACTTATTTCCAAATGGCCACAATGGCTGGGCCTCCATCCAGGTCTCCCACATGGGTGGCAGGGGTTCAACCATCTGAGCCATCTCTTACTGCTTTTCCAGGCTAGTAACAGGGAGCTGGATTGGAAGTAGAGCAGCTGGGACTGACACAGCAACCAGAGAGGATGCTGACGTCACAGGACAGCAGCTTAACCTGCCAACGCCAGTCACGAAATATGCATTTTTCACAGTGAGATAAACCGTCTCTGCCAAATGTCTCCTCCAAGTCCACTCTCCTCTGTCCCTGCTATGTGTGGTTAGCCTTATCCCTGTGTCCATCGTTCTAGAAGATGTTGGAGTGCCAAAGCAGAGGCAGGAAGCTCTCACCTGGGGGAAGGTCCGACGGAGGGGAGGAAGCTCGCGTCCAGGAGAAAGGCAGGAAAAGCTCGCCTCCCGAGGAGGAGGGTCTCTGTCGGGAGGGTGCGGTCCCTTCTCTGGAGGACTGGCTGGAAACCCCCGAAGCAGCCACTGGGATGTGCACAGTGGCAGCTTCTGGGAGCCGTCCCTCCCTCTCTGTGGAACCCTGCGAGGTTCCGCTCTCCAGGCGAGAAGGGGCGAGGCTTCCTTCCGACCCGGAGCTGCCACCACTGCTGGCCGGCAGGGAAAGCCCCTTCGAAGCTGCAATCAGAAAGCAGCAGTTAACCTCCAGCAGCCAATTACTTCGAAGTGACCTAAGAATCTTTCAGCAAACTTGGCTCTGACTTGGACAACATTATAAGGGAACTCTGCAAAGTCCTTGGGAAATTGGAATTAAAAAGATAGGTTTATTTGGCTGTAAAATTTTTCAAACCACATACAGGAGGGTCCTCAAAAAAAAAAAAAAAAGGAAAATGTATCTTATGGAAAAGAACTATGCATGGATCTCAATCTTTTTTTGCATCAATAAACTTCCATTGTTTTGCACAAGTGTTTGAGACGCTCTTGCATCCAGACATGATAAGAAAACAAGAGCAATTATTGGTCTGTGAAAAGTAAGCTCCTAAAGAAACACCACAGCAAGGTAAAGACTTTAAAAAAACAAAAATCTGTTATCTCACCAAGAGTGCGCAGTTGTGGGTACTGTTCCCTGTAAAAGGGCAGGCTGAAAGTAAGTACCACATGCTTATAACCAGATCAATGCCTCATCATCATGGGTCACTTCCCACACTCCACAAAGCTGGTCTCGCGCATAGCTTGCACTGAACATAAACTCAACTCCCAATACTCAGCCAAAACAACGAAACCAGGCACTGTCACATGCAAGAGTTTCCAAGCTCGGCTGGACCATGGACAGTGTCCCCAGCCCGGCCTTAGCAGCCTTGGATGGCGACTTCTACCTTCAGGTCTTCACCAGCTCCTATCAATTTTCCTCTTTATCACTGGGACCACCAGACCAGCGCACCTGATGTCTGCTTCAGCCTTGGTGGTCCTGGGCCTCCAGGTTCTCTTCCTCTCCCTGCCTCCACAGCAGACACCGTATACCCACCTGCCAGGTGAATTCTCCCTACATTCAACTGAACGAAGTCAGTCCTGCTGTAAAACCCTGCAGGGATTCTTCTGACCACAGCATAGACCAAGTGCCTGGTTTGCAAGATCTTCTGGGAGTGTCCCCGATCCCATCATACCACTGTCCTAGCTGCTGCTCTGGGCACAACTAGGCCTTTCCATGGGGGTGGGGTACTGTGCTGGGTTTACTATCCCACGAGGAGGTCTCCCTCATCTTTCTCTGTATCTTCACTCACACTGTCTGGGCTTCCCACTTCACCTCGGATGCAGGCTCAAATGCCAGCTTACTCTTTAAAAAAAGACCTATACAGGCAGGGTTAATGACTATCCCTGGACTTGTTTCCAAATGCCCAAGATGAGAATAACAGGACCTCATCGGCCGGCAGTAAGGACTGAGAGAACAGACAGGTGTATAGTAGGTACACAATCTGCGCTAGGTTTCTGTCAATTTTACTCGCTGTTCCCCAACCCTTTTTCAAAATCCTTTGCTAAAAGTAGGTAACCTGTAAGGCTGTGTAGATTGGAGCAAGAACCACCATCTGAGCTACATCAACCACATTCACAGAAAGGCACCTGGCTGTCACAGCCACACATCCCACCACCTGTGCCTCTGAGATCAGTGTGCGTGTGGCAGGGTGCCTGCGCCTGGAATACAGACACTGCAGCATCCGCCAGGCCACTCAACAAATCTGGGAGATGGGGGTGGCAGAAATTTGTTTTTCTTAGACCGGACACAGGTGAATGAAATGAGCCTCCATCAGCACCAACTCACCGAAGGTGCTACTCTGTGATGTCAGAGCTGTTGCTGAGTCAGGCAGGTGTCCCACGGGAGAAGTGGGGAAATCTGCTGCACTGGAAGAGCCGGTCCTTGCCTCAGCATCTGCTGCTCCAGTTAGAAGAGTGAGGATCTCAGGTGCTCTGGAAGCAGCTGCCTGGCTCTGTCTGGAGGTCTGGCCCATCATCCCCTCCCTGGAAGCCACTGTTGCAAAGTCCTCTTGCGTCGGAGAAGCAGCAAGGTTCTCTAGCTGGGGTTCGGTACTGCTTGACTGCCAGGGGTTCCTTACAGTTGCTGAAACAATAAGAAAATGCACCTGTGAGAACTTGCCAGCTGTTAAAATGAAGTTTAAAAAGACTGCCACGGCTCCTTGGAAATAGCGCTTGCATTCTTTCGATATGGCAGTATTTCTCCTGCTGCTTACAAGAAGCGGGGGCTATGGGCACTGCTGAAAATCTCTGTAGGGATGAAATTCTATCCTGATGAATTAGGTGGCAAAGGGAACACAGCCACAAGCAGACGTTGCAGGCAGTGGAACCTGCAGCCTGGATCGAACTATGCACATGCTGAGCACCTGCCGGAACACACAGTGACAAATGAGACCCCGCACTTCCCAAAAGATCAAGTGAACCACAAAGCATAATCCATCTAAATAACTTAAAAATTTCTAACAGTCTCATTTTGAAACTTAAAAAAAAAAAAAGGTGCACATCCTTTGAGAATGACTGTTTCTGTGACTCCTATTGTGTTTCCTGTAGGTGATAAATTAACCTGAAGTTTCCTGAAGGGGGAGGGAGCCACTCAGGCATCTGGCCTCCTCAGAGCCCAGCCCCAGCCCCACCCTCAGCTAAAAATAGGGTGGGGGTAGTCCAGAAGTTATCTCCAAGTTGGGCTTGGGACCCTGGAGTTGGGGGCAACAGTTGGCCACAGGGCATGTTGCCTTTGTTCAGGGTGAGCTGCCAGCAAGCCGACAGGTGATGAAAGGGATCCAGGACACTTTCTCCTCCTGATAAACTGGGCAAGAGAAGAGAGAAATTACTGTTGAAGGAAACCAGAAACAAGTGGTTATGAGGAGGGAGAAGGGACTCAGAATCCATGATCCAAAACTGTGCCGAGGCACGAGCTGGAGGGGAGCTGTCACAGGCTCCAGCCAGGCGTGAGGTCAGCCCCTGAGGGTCGTCACCAGAGGACAGCAGCAGAAGGCCCAGTCCCCAGCGGCTCAGAGGAGTCCCTCTGCAGCTCTCAGGAGAAAAAGAATGGTCAGCCGCAGACCCATGCCCTCTCCCTGGAGGAAAGGAACTCCAAACAACACCAACCAAAAAACTCAAAGCAGACAATGATCCTGCAGTATCCTCAATCACCCCGCCTCTATCAGCAATGAAAAACGCTGACTACGGTATTTTTTAAAATAATATTTCTGAATGCATTGCTGAGTTGGTAAAGGAAGAATCAAATCTTCTGAGGCCAAAATTGAAGCAAGACTAGGATACAGAGAGGTGAGCCAAGACAGAAGCTGGCAGCGGCCCTGGGCACTTGCTCAACATTTGTGACCTTGAATTTTCATTTTATTAGCCACGGAGAGGAAGGAGATGGGAGGGGAAAAAAACCAAAACCTCTAAAAAAGTGAATGTAAAAAGGAATCATTGTGGAGGACTGGGACTCCTGAGGCCTGTACTGTGGGTATGTGTAAGCTACACCAAATCTGCCTGCAGAGGGGCAAGCAACGGACCTGGCTCTGCAGTGCTGTTGTTTTTCTACTTTATTTTAAATTTTATGGTAAAATTCCATAAGGTCAAGGAATTCCCTCCCTCCCCTCTAAGTTCCCTCCCCCCAACTGATTTCCCCCATATTATTACAATAGTATAGTCCTTCATAAGCAGTCATAAGTCTATCATTCTGTTATTTAAGTGTGTCCTGACATTGCTGGTACAGACAATGGCAGACAGTCTAGCATCCAATTGTCAAGATATGTCCAACAGTTTCATTGGGAGTCCATCTTTTATTTGGAAGCAGAGATGCATACTGCATTGTGTCTTCATATCTGGATATGACAGTATCTATTATGCCGTTTACTACACATTCCCTTAAATGAGAAGCCATGAAACAAAGTCAACAACAGGAATAAAGTTAAAACAAAAAATTTACAACACCATGGAGTTAAGTAACATGCTACTGAATAACCAATGTGTCGATGAAGAAATGAAAAAGAAAACACAAAATCTTCTTGGAGAAAATGATGCTATTGTATGATCTATGAGTCAGTGAAAAATTTAATAAGAGAAAAGAAATTATCTCAAAGAAATGAAAATAAAAACGAAAATATCAAACCCCACGGTTTGCAGCAAAAACAGTATTGAAATGGTTATTGATCTTACAATTTCCATGAAGGCAGCCTTGTATCTGAGGGAACATATGGTATTTGTCCTTTTAGGATTGACTTATTTCACTGAGTATAATGATCTCTAGTTGAGATCATTTGGATGCAAACAGTATAATTTGATTCTTTTTAATGGCTGAGTAGTATTCCATGGAGTAGATGTACCAGTTTTTCTTTAGCCACTCCTCTTTGGACAGGCATCTGAGTTGTTTCCATGTCTTTGCTATTGTAGATTGTGCTGCTGCAAATACAGGATTACAGATCCCCTTCTCATATGCAGTTTTCATTTCTTTTGAGTATATTTCTAGGAGTGGGATAGCTGGGTCATATGGCAGGTTTATTTGGAGTTCTCTATGCATTCTCCTTACTGATTTCCACAGTGGTTGTGCTTACTCACACTCCCACCAGCAGCGAAGGAGACACCTTTCCCCCACATCCATGCCAGCAGGCATTGTTAGTAGAGTTCTGAATGTAGGTCAACCTCACTGGAATTAGGTGGAACCTCAATGTGGTTTTTATTTGTGTCTCCCTGACGGCTAGGGAGCCTGAGCATCTTTTCATATGTCTGTTAGTCATTTCAATCTGTTCTTTTGAGAAAGAACAATTTGTTCATTTCCTTCACCCATTTCTTCACAGTTTTTTTAACTGTCCCTGGGTTTCTGAAGCTCTCTGTAAATCCTGGATATTAGTCCCTTATCAATTGTGTGGTATATAACGATAGCCTCCCATTCCATTGGTTGCCTCTTCACTCTGTTTCCTTTCCTGTACAGAAGCTTTACAGATGAAAAAAAAATTTTCATAATAGCCTAACTCTGGCCATTGCTCCCATTTGGGGAGTAAACCAGCAGATGGAAATTCTCTCTCTCTCCTTCTCTATGTAATTTTGCCTTTCAAGTAAAAGTAAATAAATCTTTTTAAAAATCGTTAAAAACCAACTAGAAGAGCAGCAGGTTACTTGGTGCAGGACTTGGGACGACACATGGAGAAGCACATTCCTCACTGGAGTACCTGGGTTCAAGTCTCAGCTCTGTTTCTGCTTCCAGTTTCCTGCTAATGTGCTCAAGCAGCTGGGCCACCACCACTCGGGAGGCAGGCCAGGACTGAGCTCCAGGCATCTGGCTCTATCCTAGCCCAGCCCTGGGTGGCAGGCATTTGACAAGAGGAGCTGCAGATGGAAGATCTTTGTTTCTCTGCCTTTCAAATACATTGAAAAGAAACAGAATTCTAAAGAAGCAACCACAGGAAAAGAATGGCAAGCCATCTATAAAAGATAATAGTTTAACAGCTGATTTCTCAATAGTAACAACAACAGTCAATGTAGATGAATATTTTCAGCTATTAAAAGATGAAACATAATTGGAGGCTCTGCAAAACTATCTTTCAAGATCATCTTGAAGTTATCTTTCAAATGAAAACATTTTAAGTCAAAACTGAGTTTATCAATCACTTTCTTAAAGAAAATGACAGAGGATTTATCTTAAGAAGCAGAAGAAAAATCGATCCCAAATATAAAACGCCAGAAGAAAAAATGAGCAAAGAAGATGGTTGATGTGTACATATGTCTAAAGAAACACTGAATTTGTAGAGTAGTAACAATAACTTCTCATTTGTGGGGTTAATAAACAAACATAGAACAAATAATAAGCACAGCATGTATGCCTGAAGAGGGCAGGCCAGAATCACAAGGTGCAAGAGAAGGCTGCTGTGAGTATCTCATCATGGCACCAGTGCTGCAGGACAACCCCTCACCTGCAGTGTAGCATCCCATAGGCACCTGCTCAGTCCCACTGAGCTGGTATGTTCCACTTCTTACCCAGAAGAAGTTCCTGGCTCCTGGCTTCGGATCGGCATAGCATCGGCCACTGTGCTCACTTGGGGAGTGAATCATCAGATGGAAGATCTTCCTCTCTGTCTCTCCTCCTCTCTGTATATCTGACTTTCAATAAATAAATAAATCTTCTAAAAAAAAAAAAAGTTCTGTCTGTCCCTCCCTTTGCCTTTCAAGGAACTTTGATCTGTGTTTAAAAAATGTTAGCATCCTTAATGCACAAAGAACTTTCCAAACCCCTAAGACATATGTACGTCTCCCAGACAACATGGGCAGGCCCTGGGCACAGTGCTTGATAATGCCACGTCCCCCATCCTGGAATGGCTGAGTTTCAGTCCTGCCTCTAGTTCCTGTTAATGTGCATCCTACAAGGCAACAGGTGACGGTTCTCAAGTACTTGGGTCCATGCTACCCACATGGCATACCTAGCTTCGGGCTTCTGCACCAGCTACAGACACTAAGGATGAACCAGTGGATGGGATATCTCTGCCACCCCTGTTTTCTCTTGGTCGTTTTTTTTTTTTTTGTAAGATTTGCTTTATTTTTATTGGAAAGTCGGATATACAGAGAAGAGGAAAGACAGAGAGGAAGATCTTCTGTCCACTGATTCACTCCCAAGTGACCATGATGGCCAGAGTTACACCGATCCGAAGCCAGGAGTCAGGAGCCTCTTCCAGGTCTCTTTGGGCTGTCCTCCACTGCTTTCCCAGGCCACAAGCAGGGAGCTGGATGGAACGTAGGGCCGCCGGGATTTGAACCCGCACCCACCCATATGGCATCCTGGTGCATGTAAGGCAAGGGCTTAAGCTGCTAAGCTACTACACGGGCATTCTCTTGGCCTTTTTAAATAAAGCTTTAAGCAATTTACAGAAGTAACCAAATTGTATCACCATTTTAGTATGTAGTACACTCATCCTGGATCACTGAATACAAACATAATTACCCAATATTATGTCTGATATGATCTCATGCTGTTCTAACAGATCCAGTAGAACCTTTCCTAAGAAAAAGAACAAAAGGGCCCCATGTGTGGAGTTCTGGAGAAGCCAGCCTGTAGTGGGCTGTCTCTGATCCACCAGACTGCTCCTT